TTATAGAGAAAGGGCAAATAGCAATATTAAAATATTTCCTCTAATTCCCTTTTAATGTGCATGAATTTTGTGCACCAAGCCACTAGTCTATAATAATAAAAGCATAATATGCTAATTAGACCGGACAGCTGAATGACTTTCCAGACATCTTCCAGATGACCTTCTGAATGAAATCAGGGCTGCAAGGGTCTAGCCTCTTGCACGAATTTCATGCATCGGGCCTCTAGTGTTTCATAAACATTCAACAATAAAAATGGTTACCTTGACTTTACCTTTTCTGTTAAAAATACTGCTGTTTTTATGCAATAAATGTATATGTTTTTAGTTTGTCTTAGGTACCAGCAGTATTTCCTATATTTGACTTCATCCTGAGGCTAATTTCCCATAAGTACAATTACTATGCAAGTAAGAATGTGAACGTTTTTAATGGTTGTAGATACACATTAGGATCAGGAGGTCCTTTTCCCCTTGCCCCAATAGTATATTCATTAATTATCTCACCTCTGAAACAGAAACCACACAAAGTTAGAACTTAAAATTGAGCCCATATTCAGAAACATGTAGATTTTTTTCCTGAAAGTGAAAAAGGTGTAAGTAGTCCTGGCTTTTCCCTGGAACAAATAGACTATAGTGGTTTGTTAGCAGTGTTTCTTAGCTTGGGACCTAATATAAGGAAGGATCTTTACTCTTAGGTTTTGGGATTGGGTATATATGTTTGAAATCTATAAAGCTGATTTACCAGCTCAGGAGATGTGTCATACCTGCAATGGAAATTTCATTAAGGAAGAGAAAGGCAAGTTTGAGGTTTTTACAAGTAAGACAATTTTAGAATGATATTTCTGTTAACTTCCCCTGATAAAAATTAATCCTGATTGCTTTTTACTTTATTTTTTAAAAATATATTTTATTGATTTTTAACAGAGAGAAAGGGGAAAGGATAGAGAGCTAGAAACATCGATGAGAGAGAAACATCAATCAGCTGCCTCCTGCACACCCCACACTAACATACATGCCCTAGACCGGAATTGAACCCGGAACCCTTCAGTCTGCAGGCCGACACTCTATCCACTGAGCCAAACTGGTTTTGGCTGCTTTTTATTTTTTAAATGACTTAAAGGTAGATTACTGAGACATGTTCTTAGAAAATTATTATGTAAGATGTGAATTTAAGATCCTTATACATATATTTTTTTACCGTTGATTTTTGTTTTTTAAGAGAGTGGAAGGGAGGAAGTAGGAGAGAGACACACACACACACACATCAATTGGTTACCTCCCGCAGGCACCCCGACCCAATGCTGAAGACCAAACCTGCAACCTACATATGTGCCCATGCCCTTGATCTGGAATCCAACCCGAAACCCTTCGGTCCTCAGGCCAGCACTCTGATCATTGAGCTATGCTGGCCAGGGCTAAAGTCCTTATATTGTAACTTCCATTAAACTTTAGGAACTTCTTTTGTTGTGTTGTTTTTTAATTGAAAGGAACTATTGGTTGGGATTTAGGATATATTAATTTAACATGTAGATATACACTAGAAAAGTGGCCCTACCCAGTTTGGCTCGAGGGGTAGAGAGTGTCAGCCTGCAAACTGAAGAGTTCCAGGTTGGATTCCGGTCAAGGGCACATGTCTGGGTTGTGGGTTTGATCCCCAGTGGGGCTTGCAGGAGGCAGCCAACCAATGATTCTCTCTCATCATTGATGTTTCTGTTTCTCCCTCTCCCTTCCTCTTTGAAATCAATAAAAATGTATTTTAAAAAAATGAAAAATACATATGTGCTGTGAAAAAGATTTTACTTGTGTGGAATTGCAGCTGAGTTTAATTCTATGGGTGTTCTGTCTTTCTTATCTTCAGTGTATCACTTAATTTGTCTAATATATACAAATTTAATTATCGGAAAAATGAATAATTGATTATCCTGTTAAGGCTTTTTAAAGACTCTAGGAGAATAGTAAATTTAGACAGTATTATTACCTTTTTAAATCTCTTTGTTATAATAGAATCCCCTTTTTGTCTAGAAATGTGTATGTCATAGGCATGGACCCAAAATTTTCAAATCTGTTTTATTCCAAGGTATGCTTGTTCCTACATGTAAGCAGAAATGAATTTTTATAAGCGTTGGTTACAAATAAATAGCTGAACGGTTTACTTTTCCTAGGTATTACTTCTTGGGTAAGAAAAATAAGAGGTAGCCCTGCATTTGTTTTGCAATCTATCAAGGATCTTAGACATATGTGGATTTTTATGACACTCATTTGGATATCTCGTTGGGCTACTATTAGCAAGCTACCATAGTTACTACAATATTGTCAGTTTTTAAAGTGTGTATGGTAAGGGGTGGTGAAAGAATAAGAAGAAACATAAAAATACAGAAAATTACAACATAAAATTCTCCAATGTGTTTCTCCATTCAATTGGTGTCAATTGTTATTTCAGACTGGCAATTTTTCTCCATTAACAATTAGTTCACTCAGATTAAATATTTAGAATCTGTGTTCACTCTCTTTTATTGGTGTTTTGTCTTTTTATGCTCTTTGACCTTCTCATCACTATTCATCCCAAGTTTTAGCACTGTCACATCAAAATGTATTTTATCAGAAGAGGCCTAACTATGCATTTGTTTTTTAGAGTCTGAATAGTAAATATATGTATAAGGCATCTGTATATGTTTAGCCCACCTAATTTATCCAGTAATCTGAATGTTTTGTCTGTTTTTCACTAGAACCCAAATGTTCTTACCCAGCATTATACTGTCAGGTTATGAGTCTCTAAAGAGTCTCATAACACTAGAGAAAATAACATTGCCTCTTTATGCCATTTATTATTTATTTTTAAAGATCCTTTTCTTTTTGTGCTTAGAATATTTTTTTTATCCAGGATCTGAACTTTCTAAGTAAAGATAGAAATGTGATTCCCCCTTCCCATTTGAAAGTTGATTAGAATTATACTGATCAAATACCTTCCTGTTCTCAGGAGTGAAATTAAGTCTACCTACATATTTCTATCTTGAGGTATTTATGGACTAGCCAAAATGGGCATGTATGTGTAACATTTTTTTGAAGGTGGAAATGCTGTATATCCATTTTTAGAATTTAGCCATTTATTTTTTTTACTTAAGAAAAATTGTAGCTTTCTTTAATTAATTAATTAATTAATTTTTAAAATATATTTTATTGATTTTACACAGAGAGGAATTGAGAGGGACAGAGAGTTAGAAACATCGATGAGAGAGAAACACCAACTAGCTGCCTCCTGCACCCCCCCCACTGGGGATGTGCCCACAACCAAGGTACATACCCCTGACCGGAATCGAACCCGGGACCTTTCAGTCCGCAGGCCGACGCTCCATCCACTGAGCCAAACCGGTCTCGGCATAGCTTTCTTTTAAATTTCATTTTTTTTAAAAATATATTTTATTGATTTTGTACAGAGAAGAAGGGAGGAGATAGCTAGAAACATCGATGAGAGAGAGTCATCGATCAGCTGCCTCTTGCACAACCCCTACTGGGGATGTGCCCGCAACCAAGGTACATGCCCTTGACCGGAATCGAACCCGGGTCCCTTAAGTCCCCAAGCCGACGCTCTATCCATTGAGCCAAATCGGTCTCGGCTTAAATTTCATATTTTTATTAATATGTAACTCATCATCTTTTAAAGTCTCTTCTAATACACTTTGATCCTTGCCCATAATTTATTTTTATTAGGTCTGAATTTTGTAAAATTGACAATGATTGTAATTTACTCTCTTAGAACTTGGTGCATAAAGGTGCATAGATGTTTTAAAAACTTGCCTTTTCCACAAAATGTTAATGGTGGCAATGAAAACATTCTATTTTATTGAATTAAGAGCTTTAAAAACATAGACTAGAAGGAAATAGAGGTGCTCATGCTTAGTCTTTTTTTTTTTTTTTTTTTTTTTTTTTTTTTTTGCTGATCTCATAAAGTTGTTGGAAATATGACTTAAACTCTTGAGCTGGGTCTAACTTTCTGGTTGACAGTGGAAGCCCAAGGATGTAGAAAAGGTTAGTTGATTGGAGAAATGTTTTATAGGGATATGATCACTTCGCTTGAATATTGACTTTCATTACTGTCCTGAATTTTTTCATTTTACCTTTACAGCAACCCTATGAAGCCATACAAGATAATGTGTTACTTAAGTGCACATTCATGAGGAAAATAGAATATTAGAAAATACATATATTTGCAACATAAAACTTTTAGTTTCATGTAATGTAAATTAAATGTTAAGTCTGACAGATTGCTGTATGTCAGGAGTTGGCAACTCAAGGATCATGTGCTGCCCTGGCATCGGAGATACTTTAGGTTGTCAAAGTCAGGTTACTACTAAGTAGGGGGGAAAAAGTGAAGTAGGTAAAGGTTATCTCTGCTGCCCTCCCACTACTTTCTTAACTTTTCTTTTCTGACTCCCAGATATGTTCTCTCTTGCTTTATAGCAGCTAAAGTGTTTGCCAGTAATATTTAAGGTGCCAAACTACTATTCTCACTTTTAAAAATAAAAGATCCTTAAGTACTCACTGAGATGATTAACACTGGAGTTGATCTCCATTTTTGGATCCTGGTGCCTGGGTTATAGGGACTGGGGGAAATTGTCCTGTTACTTTCCCTCCTCCTCCCTCATTGGTCCCATGGAACAGATGGTTCCTGAAGACATTGACTGTTTCTATAGGCTGGGAGTCAAGCTGAAGTTAAGGGTCAGTTTTCACTTTTTTTCTTATTACCATTGAGAAAGCAAATAAATATAGATTTAGTTAAAAATTCTGGGTATAGTTAGAACATTGAAAGTAGGAGACAAACTATTTTATGAAAATAAGCAGAAAAGGAAATTTACTTGCACTACCTGTATGCTGTGAGTTATAATAGTCCCCTGTGTTTGCAGTCGCTTTAAAGTTTTTAGCTTTTCAAAATAGGGGTGACTTCATTAATGATACCCATTTGAAAAAATTGTTTAACATTTTTTATATTTTCTCTATCTAACTAGATGTGATGCTGACCCTTCAGCCTTAGCCAACTACGTTGTTGCACTGGTCAAGAAGGACAAACCTGAGAAAGAATTGAAAGCCTTTTGTGCTGATCAACTTGACGTCTTTTTACAAAAAGGTAATTATTATGGACCGTTTGTCACGTATTTAAGATTTTCAGTTTAAAACTTATTGATAAAACCTTGAACATAGAAGCTTGAAAGAAAAGAAATAATCAGGGTCCTTTTAAACTTGAAAATATATCCACTCATGCCTAATTATTTATCAAGTATTTTGGCAGAACTGTTTTTTCCTTTCTTTTCCTTCTCGGTTTCTTTCTTATGTTGAGACACTGGTAACTAATGTTTTTTTAGTCCTTTGCTGCTTGTGACAGATTCTAATTGATGGTAGGGGGCGGGTAACGTTTGAAGGATATTAAAGCTGTTTATTCTTAGTGTTTATTAAGATAATAAAGCTTTCTGTTGTGTTTTTTTATTTTTCACTCTTGGCTGGGGCTTTTTTATATCCAAGAAGAGGTGGCATGTTCTTCTCTTTGTGCCTTTAACTTCTCATCTTCTTACCAAAGTATTTTCCATAGTCCACAGAGATTCCTGGAGTCTTCCCCTGCTGCTTTTCTGACCTAAGTTTCTACCTGTCCCCCTCACTATTTATTCTAGTCACATTGACTAATGTGCTGTTTTTGACAACATGGCAAACATATCTCCATTCAGGGCTTTTGAATTCTTTACCCTTCCTTGAAACATGGTTTCTTCCCGTATGGTTTTTGGTCTCTTCTTAAATGTCACCTTAAAGCAGCCATTTTCAACCTTTTTCATCTCACGGCCTCAAACTACTAAAATTCTGTGGCACACCCAAAAATAAATTTTTGCTCATCTGACCAAAAAAAAATAGGTGTAATTTTGATGATACCTATTACATTAGATGGCTATAGTTGGGTTGGCTGTTATCATTTTTATATTTGACAATCTAAGGAAAAAGAGGTCAGTGTCTCTGGCTAAATAGTCAGGTGTTGCATATTTTGAGAAAATGCTGTCTTAGAGTAGTTTCCCCTGAATGTACAGTATATCCCATGCCCTTAGACACTCTTTCTAACCTTGTTTGGTTATTTTATTTTATTTTTTTCATAGCATTTGTTATTCCCTGTCACATTGTATGTTGATTTGCCTGTTTATATATGTCTCTCCTCCCCAACCCTGTTTTGTCTTTTCCTTCATGGAGGAAAGAGTTGGAACCTACAGTACCTGTCACGTAGGAGATATTCTATAAAGATTGTTGAATAGATGGACAGGAATGTGGATAATGCACAGTTATTGGTTGATCTAGCTGTTGGTGGTGGGAAGTCATCCTTTAACTCAAATACTTACTGAGAAAGAAAAGATAGTGATTGTGGCCTCTCAATCTAAAACACAGTAATTCCTCCCTAGTACAGATGGGAGGAGGATGAGTATTTTCTTTTCTAAATATATTAATTTATATTATTCAGTTTCCAGTAAAGACAATCATGTAAAATGTAGGGCCATGAAAAAATAAGTAAAACATTGCAAAGACATTAGAGGTAACAGGCGAATATATCTTTAGGTATCTAAGAATTCCTTGTTGCAAAAGCTTTAAAGATTTTTAGTAACTTTTTAAAAAATTAGAAAAGCAATACATGTGAGGGAGAATTTTAAAGAACATTTTTAAAAGGAGAGCAAAATAATTGCCATAAACTTGCAACCAGAGAGAAAATCACTGATCATAAAAATAAAGCTTTTGAAGGGTTTGATTAATTTATTTTCTTAAAATTATGTCTACAATTGCCCTGACTGGTTTGGCTCAATGGATAGAGCGTCGGCCTGCGGACTGAGAGGTTCCAGGTTCAATTCCGTCAGGGGCATGAACTTTGGTTGCAGGCACATCCCCAGTGGGAGGTGTGCAGGAGGCAACTGGTTGATGTTTCTTTCTCATCGAAATTTCTAACTCTCTACCACTCTCCTTTCTTCTCTGTAAAAAATCAATAAAATATATTTTAAAAAATTATGTGTACAATTAACAAGAGATAATAGTTTTATAATAAGAAAAATAGTTACCACACAAATTAGTAGCATAAAGATGCTTTTTGAAGGGAAATTAATTAGATACTTTAGAAACAGCTGATTATATAAAATGTGTAATAATTACAGTAAGCAGGGTTTATGTTGTACTTTTTAAAAATTTTCTTGATTTTGAGAGGGAGGAAGGGAAAGAGAAACATCAGTTTCTTGTTCCACACATTTATGCATTCATTGGTTCATTCTTTTTTAAATAATTCTTCATTGTTGAAAGTATTACATATATCCCCCTTCGTCCCCCATTAACCTCCTTCAATCCTCCCCAGGCCTTCAGCACCCTATTGCCTGTGTCCATGGGTTATACATATATACATTCAGGCTTTTGGTTGCTTACCTCCCCCCACCTTTCCTATGAGATTTCGCACGCTGTTCCATTGGTTCATTCTTGTATGCTCCCTGACCTGGGATCAAACCCGCAATCTTGGCATGTTAGGATAATGTTCTAACCAACTGAGCTATCTGGCCAGGGTATTGTGTTGTACTTTTATTTTTAATATTTTTATTGATTTTTAGAGAGAGAGAGGAAGGGAAATGAAAGGGAGAGAAACATAGATCAGTTGCCTTCTGAACACCCCCTATGAGGGATCAAGCCTGCAACCTGGGCATGTATTGAACTGGCAGTCTTTCTGTGTACGGAACAATGCTCAACCGAGTTACACTGGCCAGTGCTGTGTTGTACCTTTTAAAAATATGTATATATATTTTTTCTTGATTTCAGAAAGAGAAAGGGTGAGGGAGGAAGAGAGAGAGAGAAACATCAATGAGAGAGAACCATCGATCAGCTGCCTCTTACAAAACCCCACCAGGAATCAAGCCCACAACCCAGGCGTGTGCTCTGACCAGGAATTGAACCATAACCTCCTGATTCATAAGTTGATGCTCAACTACAGAGCCACACCGGCTGGGCTGTTGTACTTTTTTTTTTAATTGTTTTTATTTTATTTTATTATTTTAAAAATATATTTTATTGATTTTGTACAGAGAGGAAGGGAGAGAGATAGTTAGAAACATCAATGAGAGTCATCGATCAGCTGCCTCTTGCACACCCCCTACTGGGGATGTGCCCACAATCAAGGTACATGCCCTTGATCGGAATCGAACCCGGGACCCTTCAGTCCATTGAGCCAAACCGGTTTTGGCAGCTGTTGTACTTTTCATACACTTTTTTTTCCTTAGGATAGGATCACTGAAAGTTACTTGATTCAAGAAATTTGATTTGAATAACATACTTTGACATTTATGTTTTTAATACATTTATTTGGTTCTCCCAGTTTGAAAAAGTTTCAAGTAGAGCTGCCTTTAAGTAAAATACAAAAAGATACTTTCATATAATTTTCATGCCACCATTTATTTTTTCAACTGATATAAAATATTTTAAATTTAGCCGGGACCGGTTTGGCTCAGTGGATAGAGCGTCGGCCTGCGGACTGAAAGGTCCCGGGTTTGATTCCGGTCAAGGGCATGTACCTTGGTTGCAGGCACATCCCCAGTAGGGGGTGTGCAAGAGGCAACTGATCATCGATGATTCTCTCTCATCGATGTTTCTAACTCTATCCCTCTCTCTTCCTCTCTGTGAAAAATCAATAAAATATATTTTAAAAAAAATAAAAAAGTAAAATATTTTAAATTTAATTTTTGAGTAGGCAGTATATTTAATCCAACTATATAAAGGTATACTGTGAAAAGTCTCACCTGTTCATCTACTCTCTTCCCACCTCCAGTACACATTTTTTGTATTCTTTCATCAGTTTTTATGCAAATATTATATAAACATATAAATGTTTATTGTAACTTTGAGATCTGATTATCAGTACTCATTCTTTTTATATTTGTTCTGCATTCTGTTGTATGTCTGCCATATAATTTGTTTAACTAGTTTCTTATTCACAGAAATTCGGGTTGTTTCCAGTCGTTTATTATATTGTACTCAAATAATCTTGTATATATGTCTTTTTTTTTTACATGTGCAAACATATAAAAGCCTAGAAAGTAGAATTCTCTCCCAAAAAAGGTTAGACTTATTTTAAGTCCCAACAACAGTATATGAGATGTCCCATTTACCTCCGATTTGACAATAGAATGTGTTGTTAGATTTTTGGTTTCTGTTTATATAACACATTTTATTTATCTTCCTTAGAAACTTCAGGTTTTGTGGATAAACTATTTGAAAGCCTCTATACTAAGAACTACCTTCCACCTTTGGAACCAGTTAAGTCTGAGCCAAAACCATTAGTCCAAGAAAAAGAAGAAATTAAAGAAGAGGTAATACAGAGTTTTCTTTTGTTTCGGGGGCATCTTATGCCCCGTTATCAGTATTATTTTTAGTTGGAAGTTGATCTCTTTAGAAGTGGTAGAAATTTGTGGGGTTTGGGCATGGTGCAGAGTCTTTTTCAGGGCTTCTTAGTTCCTCGAACTTAAAGTATTGGAAGAATTTCAGATAGCTTGTTTAGAGATCCAAGAAATATTTTAGTAATATTGGGGAATTCAGAGAAATCTTATTCAGTGATTTTTAGAAAAATAAAACTTCGTAAGTATTGAGGCTTAATTAAAGGAAAATTACTAATGAAACCTCAAGAGAACTCATTAGGTTATACATATTCACTTAAATAGAGAAAATATTCCCTCTTTTAACCACACAACTTTTATTTTATTTTATTTTTTTTAAAATATATTTTATTGATTTTATACAGAGAGGAAGGGAGAGAGATAGAGAGTTAGAAACATCGATGAGAGGGAGTCATCGATCAGCTGCCTCTTGCACACCCCCTATTGGGGATATGCCCGCAACCAAGGTACATGCCCTTGACCGGAATCGAACCCGGGACCCTTCAGTCCCCAAGCCGACACTCTATCCATTGAGCCAAACCGGTCCCGGCTAACCACACAACTTTTAAATAATATAATTGTAAATGTCATTCATAGGAAAGAAAAGGAATAATGTTTACACAATATTGAGATATAAAACGTGATTATAGATGGTTTGAATTGAATCAAGGAAGAAATTTTACAAAATTCACATGTGATTCTTTTTATGTATAGATAACAGTTTTACAATAAGAATATAAGTTTTAAAATCAAGCTGCATGAGTTAAAGTAGTAGCTTTAAACAAAGCTACTTAGCTGCTCATTTGCATATCAGCAAAGTGATGATCATAGTAGTATATACTTATCTCTTTGAGGATTAAATGAGATTTTATGTGTGCGCACACATCCTAGTCCAATGTCTGGCACATAAGTGTTGGTTATTATACAGAAATGTTTTCCAACTTTTGTTTTTATTAATAATTATTTAATGAAATTTTTATTTGGGGATAATTTTAAACATATGAAAATTATAAGTATAGTACCACAAATACCCATATATTATTTACCTAGATTCATCTGTTGGAAGTTTTCCTCACTTGCTCTCTTTATATAGACTCAGAATTATTTGGGATTAAGTCAGGTATATTATGACCCTTGACCTCTAAATAATAGTGTATATTTTATAAGAATAAAGATATTTTCTTAACTAGCTATAGTACCATTATTAGTATCATTAAATTTAACATCAATAAAATACTGGAATCTACTGTCTGTATTCCAGTTTTGTCAGTGGACCAACAATGTCCTTTTATTATAGCTTGTGTTTTTTCCTCTTCAGTACAGGATCATTCTAAGGATCACATATTGCATTTAGTTGTCATTTCTGATATATTTTTAAATGCTAGGATGATTCAACATTAAAAGAAAACAAAAGAAAATACTTCATTAAGATCCATTGAGATTACTATGCTTTTTAAATTTTTGGCTTATGCCCTTTAATTGTCTCATAAAATCTTTAAAAGAGGCTCTTGGTATGTTTTTTCAAGTAATGGAAATAGGAAGATATTTTCTTTTGTACTTGGTAGAATATAACTTTGTTGATTGCATCCCAGTGGAATAATATATCATCTGTATTTCCTGTGAATTGGTAGGATGATTTTTAAATCTAATCTAATGATTATACAAATGTTCTTGCCAGTACCATATGGTTGCCATATTGTGGCTGCCATTTTTATAGCATTCATTAACTTTTTGTTCCTGTAACCTTTTCTATGAAATATACCTAAAGTTCTCCTTAAATGAATTATAATTAGGAAAACACAAATCATTTTACTATACAATGCTTAGAAATAGAGATTTGCTATTTCTACTGCTTGAATTTAAAGAATGGATTTTTGTTTTCCTTCTACACTGCTATTTTCTACCTTAAATTAACACTTAAAAATTAACATATTGCTGGTAATGTAATTTCAGCATCTTTTTATTTCTGTTTCCGAACTTTTTTGGATGTGATGTGACCTTAGTATTCTACTTTATTTATTTGTGCCCTCTTTGTGCCAGTAAGATTGTCATCAGGTGGATGTGTTTTGTATTTTGTAGGCCTGTTCTTGTTTCTAATGAGTGTTTTCATATAGGTATTTCAGGAGCCAGCAGAGGAAGAACGAGATGGCAGAAAAAAGAAATATCCTAGTCCCCAGAAGACTCGTTCAGAATCAAGTGAACGAAGGTTTGTATATATTTTTAATTAGGAGAATATTGATAACTCACTTCAATTACATTACAATGGCATTAAAGAGATTTTTTTTAAATAAATATATTTTATTGATTTTTGTACAGAGAGGAAGGGAGAGAGATAGAGAGTTATAAACATCAATGAGAGAGTCATCGATCAGCTGCCTCTTGCACACCCCCTACTGGGGATATGCTCGCAACCAAGATACATGCCCTTGACCAGAATCGAACCCGGGCCCGTCAGTCCCCAAGCCGACGCTCTATCTATTGAGCCAAACCGGTCCTGGCTAAAGAGATTTTTTAAATATGAACTGACCCATCTCTCTCTCTCTCTCTCTGAACTGATTAAAGGAAAAGTTACCTTTCTTTCTTCCATTCTCTTTTTTTGTCTTTGTCTTCCTTTTATAAACAAGCATCATTATGTGCTTTCCCCAAGAGCTCAGGGGTGGGAGCAGTCTCCTTAGAGAATAATAATGAAATGTTCCATTTGGTTAGGGGTGCTTAATATTAAAATCATCCACAGCATTTTATATTAAAATTAGTGCATTTTATATTTTGAGTCATCAGCCTACCATCAAAAAATTAGTCTTTGTTTAGGAAAACTTTGTTTTGAGACTTTTTTCTTTTCTAGTTTTAAATATCTGGTTTTTTTCCTTCCACCCCTCCCCATACTTTGGGTTCACCTCTTTTTTTTTTTTTTTTTACTTCTCTCCACCCAGTGTTCTTGAGGGAATGCAGTTTCTTTTTATATAGTGGGCTAGAGAAATTTGTAGTGGTCTTACAGCTTTCTAAAAAAGCATTTGTATTATGAATTTTGATGCATCAAAGAGGACATTTCATACCACTTAGTTTCTATATCTACATATGGCTTTTATATCTGTGTATTATAGGACACGTGAGAAGAAAAGAGAAGATGGCAAGTGGAGAGACTACGATAGGTACTTTGAGCGGAATGAATTGTACCGTGAGAAGTATGATTGGAGAAGAGGCAGGAGTAAAAGCCGGAGTAAGAGCCGAGGCCTGAGTCGAAGTCGAAGCCGAAGTAGGGGGCGCAGCAAAGACCGGGATCCAAATAGGAATGTTGGTGAGTAGAGGCTTCTTCCTAAAGACTTCACAGTTGCTTATCTTCCTCTATCACTAGAGTACCTGAACTTCTCTTAAAGCAAATGTACCTTTGTTATGTCTGTGCAGTGTAAAATCTGTAATTGTCTCCAAAAATTTAATATTGATTTTGTTAAAAAGATAGGGCTCTTTTCTTGGGATAGTGTCAAAGGAGTGTGACTCAAAAGACATTATTCATAAATGTATTATAGTTATGTGCATGTCTAGATTTAAGTCATCTTGTATAATTGAAACAAATGTCCTTTAATCAACAAAGCTATCACTGGAGAAAAAGGATTACTGGCCCCTGCCCTCTTCCCCTTTTTCCCTCCAAAAAGAATTGATTTTCTCTAAGGTTGCCTAGAGTTTATAAAATTAAGTATATTATTGGGATCCTAGCCACTGATCTCCTTGGATGTCATTTTGGAAATCAATTCTTGAATAGCATTTTTATTAAATAGCAGAGAAGCTGGCCTGTTTTCATTATGTATTGGTATTGATGATATAAAAGATAGTTTTACATAAGTTATTGGTCAAAATAATGGCATATCGTTGATGTTCCTGCTTTTAGGGTATAGTAATAATGAAAACACTTTTAAATACCAATAACACAGTAAATTTACCTTATTATTCTCCTTTCCTAATTTTTAAGTGAAAATACCCATGCGTTTAAAGAATAAATGTCTGATCTTATTTTTTATTTTTACTTTGTTTCTAAAGCAGAGCACAGGGAAAGATCCAAGTTTAAGAGTGAAAGGAATGACTTGGAGAGTTCATATGTGCCTGTGTCCGCACCGCCTCCAAACTCTTCGGAGCAGTATTCCTCTGGGGCCCAGTCTATTCCCAGCACTGTTACTGTGATTGCACCTGCGCACCACTCTGAAAACACCACAGAGAGTTGGTCTAATTACTATAACAATCATAGCTCTTCCAATTCTTTTGGTCGAAACCCACCACCAAAGAGGCGATGCAGAGATTATGATGGTAAAAATTCTTTTTTTATGCTGTACCCAAAAATACTAGTAAAGCAGATGTTGCTCATATTGTATATCTTTTCATTGTAGTTCAGATTTTATTAAAAGGGATGAATAAGTGAATCTCTTCTGGCATATGCTTATTTACTTGTTTGATTTAGTAGTTTTGGCTCTTATTAACAGGATGTTCAAATTTGACCCTTTGTCTTTTGTTGTTCTTGTTACTTCAAACACTAACTTGAAAAACACTAGGAATTATCACTTTCTCATCAATGGAAAAAATATCCGTGTAAGGATTAATAACAGCAACAACAAATTCGAATTTTTATTGTGAACATTTCATAGCAAATGCATTAATGGTGGCCAGTAGCCTTTTCTTGACTCTATTTGCTGACTCAACAAATCATAGTGTTATCGTGTAGAAAGCAGAGTACACCTGCCCTGACCTTGGGTGGTATATTATAGGATGATTAACAGAACAACACTTAAGAGTTTAGACTCCTTAGAGAAAAAACACTTTATAAATCAGATTGATGAGTGTTTCAGGGACTTGTTTTTCCCCCCTGAATTCTAGGTAGATCATCATAAGATTCTTTTTTTCTTTTTACAGAAAGAGGATTTTGTGTACTTGGTGACCTTTGTCAGTTTGATCATGGAAATGATCCCCTGGTTGTTGATGAAGTTGCTCTGCCAAGCATGATTCCTTTCCCTCCACCTCCTCCTGGGCTTCCTCCTCCACCACCTCCTGGCATGTTAATGCCTCCAATGCCAGGCCCAGGCCCTGGTCCTGGCCCTGGTCCAGGCCCAGGCCCAGGCCCAGGTCCAGGTCCTGGCCACAATATGAGACTTCCTGTTCCCCAAGGACATGGCCAGCCTCCACCTTCTGTTGTGCTTCCCATACCAAGTAAGTATATGTTCATTGACTGTTTATCTCAGAATTGTATTTCAAATCCATCCTTTTCAGCTAACGTGACACTACATTTAAAGTTTTTGGTCAAAACAGGTTTGGCTCAGTGGATAGGGTGTCAGCCTGCAGGCTAGGCTGAAAGGTCCCAGGTTCGATTCCGGTCAAGGGCATGTACCTTGGTTGCGGGCACATCTCCAGTGGGGGGTGTGCATGAGGCAGTTGATTGATTCCTTCTCATCGATGTTTCTAGCTTTCTATCCCTCTCTCTTCCTCTCTGTAAAAAATCAATAAGATATATATTTAAAAAAAAGATAGTTTTTGAAAAGTGAATTATAGAATTTAGGATATATTCTTATAATTAAAATGCTGTTTCCTTTTTTTCATCTATTGTTGCATTGCATTATTTGTAGCACCTCTTAACTGTAAATATCAGTAGTGGCCTATATTTATCTGAAGTGAAAATCTTGCTAGTTGATAGCATCTTAAGAAAGCCAGTGTTTTGAAGATGTCAGAAAAAACAACACACCAGTAGCCCTGGCTGGTGTGGCTTAGTTAGTTGGAGTGTTGTCCTGTGTATTGCAATATCTCAGGTTCCATTTTTGGTCAGGGCACATATGTAGGTTCTGGAGTTAGTCTCTTGTTGGGGTGTGTAAGGAAGACTACTGGTCAGTGTCTTTTGTCTCACATCGATGTTTTTCTCTCTCTTCCTCCTCTTTAAAATAAAAAAAATAAATAAAAAAAAATTTTAAAAAAAGAACATGTCAGCTTAATGAAATTTCCTTGTCTTTAAAGAAAATTTCTTCAAGAATCTTGAAATAATTTCAAAAACATTTTATTGTGGAAAATTTCAAATATACACAGAGGTAGAATAATATATGTTCCATATGCACTGTTAATCCTATTTCAGTGGATTATCAATATTCATCTCTTTTTGTTTTATCTTCTCCGCTTCCCCCACATTTCTTTTGGCTTCTTAGTTGTTGCTGGAGTAAATGTCAAGTGTTATATCATTTTACCAGTATATATGTCAGTATGAATCTCTTCACTGAAAGGATTGTTTTGTTTTTGTTTTTGTTTTTAATAAGCAAATAATGTTCTATTATCACATCTACCAAAATTAATATTAAGAAATGTTTGAGCTGGCACCGGTTTGGCTCAGTGGTAGAGCGTCGGTCTGCGGACTGAAAGGTCTTGGGTTCGATTCCGGTCAAGGGCATGTACCTTGGTTGCGGGCACATCCCCAGTAGGGGGTGTGCAAAAGGCAGCTGGTCGATGATTCTCTCATTGACGTTTCTAACTTTCTATCCCTCTCTCTTCCTCTCTGTGAAAAATCAATAAAAAAAATTAAAAAAAAATGTTTGAGAATGATCATCTAAAAAACCTTAGCAATTGCTAATTTATTAGAAACAGAAATAAGACTTAACTTTTCTAGTATAATTGAAAAGATAATGGAGTAGTTTACATGTATGCAAGTGTATAAGAAAATATATACTTGATGACATTTAACATTGCTAGCAGATTGGAAATTATTATTTTTTGATAACTGTCATTCAATTTAAGTGGCAGTTTTTAAAATTTTCTTTTTATTTATAATTCTTACCTGAGGACATGCTTTTATTAGATTTTAGAGAGAGAAGGAGGAAGGGAGGGAGTGAGGAAGGGAGAAAGGAAAGGTGGAGGGGAGAGAGGGAGGGAGAGAGAGAGAGAGATCAGTTGCCTCCCCCATGACCAGATATTGAACCCATAACCTTTTTTTTTTTTTTTTTTTTTTTTGTATGGGACGATGCTCCAACCAACTGAGCCACACTGGCCAGGGCTACCTTGTATTTTTGAAATTATAACAGAAGTTGCAAAAATACTTTAGCATGATTCTGTATATCCCTCATCTAGTTTTCCTGCAGCTATGTTCTTTATAGAACATATTTCATTAAAATTGCTAAAGGTTTTGAAACATTTAATGCATAGATTTGGTCAATAAAAATATGGAGAGGGAAGGTAGGGGTGGGTGGTTGGGTGGAACAGATCAACAAAAGAATTTGTATGCATCTATGCATAACCTATGCCCACAGACAATAGTGTGGTGAAGGCCTGGGTGGGGTGGCGGTGGGCTAGAAGGGATATGTGGGTGTAGGGGGGAGGGACAGATGCAATACTTTCAATAATGAAGATTTAAAAACAGAAAGTAATATGGTCCTTTTAATTCAGCATTTGTGAATATTTATTGTCACATAAATGGTATATTTGTATAGTTCATTTTGATGCTATTTCCAGGTAAAATAGCAAAAGTTATCTCCCTGAACTTTTTAAAAGTTAAATCCAAGACTGTCATTTCCCCCCAATATTGTGCTAGAACAAATTTAAGGAAACAGAAAAGTTGAAAGAACCATATACTGCCTGGCTGGTGTGGTTCAGTGGTTGAACATTAACCTATGAACCAGGAGGCCATGATTTGATATCAAGGCACAGGCTCAATCCCCAATAGAAGGGCATGCAAGAGGCAGCTGATTTCCTTCCTTCCTTCCTTCCTTCCTTCCTTCCTTCCTTCCTTCCTTCCTTCCTTCCTTCCTTCCTTCCTTCCTTCCTTCCTTCCTTCCTTCCTTCCTTCCTTCCTTCCTTCCTTCCTTCCTTCCAATATATTTTTATTGGTATCAGAGAGGAAGGGAGAGGTGAGAGAGAGAGAGAGATAGAAACATCAATGATGAGAGGGAATCATTGATCAGCTGCCTCCTGCACGTCCCTTACTGGGATCAAGCCCACAACCCAGGCATGTGCCTTTGACCAGAGTCGAACCTGGGACCCTTCAGTTCACAGGCTAACGCTCTTTTTACTGAGCCAGACCAGCTAGGGCTATAGTGAGTATTTTTATTAGTTAGGAAATATTAATGCTGTGATTTTTCCTTTTTGCTCTCCATAGGACCACCCATAACGCAGTCAAGCTTAATAAATAACCGTGACCAGCCTGGGTCAAGTGCAGTGCCCAATCTTGCACCAGTGGGAGCAAGACTACCTCCTCCTTTACCCCAGAACCTCCTTTATACAGTATCAGAACGTAAGTAAAAATTGTTTGATTTAAAATTGCTCAGTAAATAGAAGCCAATTTTTTTTTCATGTCAGTGTTATACTTTTTAAAATTCAATTAATTTGTATTTTTATGGATTGTGCTATTTAAAATTGTATTTGTATTTTCAGGGTAGTTCACTATGTGGGTATGTTATATAGCTGGATTTTAATTTTGTGTATGGGAAGCAACCAGTTGATCTATCTCTTACATCAATGTTTCTCTTTCTCTCTTTCTCCCCCTCCCCTCTCTCCTTTTCACTCTGAAAAGCAATGGAAAAAATATCCTCAGGTGAGGATTAACAAAACAAAAAAAATTTTTTTTAGTGTAATATTACTTTTCAGTCATACTTTTTAAATGTCTTTCTATTCAGTTGATTTAAAAATCATTTTTGTCTTTTAATAAAATTGCCTTTGTGAATTAATTCAAGTTTATTTTTATAAATACTGTAATCAATAATTTCAAAAAATTAGAGTTTGCTTCAGTTCAAATGTAGTAAAAAGGTATATATGTATGTTTGCATTGTAATAAAGAACTTGAACTATGCTCAAAGCTTAGCAAATTGAGAAAGTTTAAATTATGGATATTTTATTATCATAAAAATTACCATGAAAAGTCACAGCAGAGAAAATAGTATAAATGAAAAACAGCGTAACAAACAGTATTTAGTTGTGAAAATTATGTCAATAGGGACCCAAAGTAAACAGAAAAATAAAATCTGGACTTTTTTGAAGTAAAAATAGGACTATGCTTAATGCTAGCTACATACTGAGAATATATTGATTAATAAATGATTTGCCTGGTCTGTGTGGCTCAGTGGTTGAGCATTGACCAATAAACCAAGAGGATAAGGTTCGATTCCCGTCAGGATACATGCCTGGGTTGTGGGCTTGATCCCCAGAATGGGGTGTATAGGAGGCAGCCAATAAATGGTTCTCACTCATCATTGATGTTTCTACCTTTCTTTCTCTCTCCCTTTCTCTCTGAAATTAATAGAAGTATATATATATATATATATATATATATATATATATATATATATATATATTTTTTTTTTTTTTTTTTTAAAGAAAGAAACGATTTTTCTTTTAGGAAGCAAAAAATATAATGGAAAGAAATAAGTAAAAACAACAAAACTCAAAACCAGTTACAGTGTATTAAAACTAAAGGAACAGGATGATTCAGAAACACAAGTGACAAGGGCACTAATTCTGTCAAAAATGGAACCTTCATGTAGTCTGTAATTATCAGTTGTTTTGAAAGAGGAAAATCAAATGTTAAAAGAAAATAAATTAACCCACTGTAAAATGAGGTAGGATATGTTAATGTCAGATGGTTCCACTTTAGAAAAAAACCTTTGTAATTTTGTTTTTGTAAAGTGTCAGATACTCTGAAAAAGACTTACATAATGAGAAATGCTATATTATTGGAATTGTCTGGAAAGACAGCAATTCATACACCTATTGAAATCAACTATTGCTCTGGCCAGTATGGCTCGGTTTGCTGAGCATCGTCCTATGCACTGAAAGGTCACTGGTTCAGTTCTGAGGTCAAGGCTCATGCCCCGGTTGTGAGCTTGATCCCCAGTAGGAGGCCTGCAGGAGGCAGCTGATGGATGTTTTTTTCTCCGACTTCCTCCCCCTCTCTAAAAATCGATAAAAACATTTAAAAAACATATTTTAAAAAATCAACTATGTCCTCTGAAGTATTTAAACATTTTACCCAAATTTGAAGTCATCAACTTAGTATCTATTATTTTGGTTTTCACAGTATCACTTTTAAATTAATTCTTTACTATCCTAAATTTGGTCTGGTTTTTTCCTCCTCCTTTGAAGAAGACAGAGTTGAATCTATAATCTATAATAATGAAAGCATAATATGCTAATTATACCAGACATCCTTCCAGATGAAGCCAGGGCTGTGAGGAAAGCCCAGGTCCTGGGTGCCAGAGGGAAGCTGGTGCCAGCAGCTGGGGGAAGGAAGGCTTACTCTTGCACTAATTTCATTTATCAGGCCTTTAGTTGTTGTTGTTGTTGTTGTTGTTTTTTAAAATATATTTTATTGATTTTGTACAGAGAGGAAGGAAGAGAGATAGAGTTAGAAACATCGATGAGAGAGAGTCATCGATCTGCTGCCTCTTGCACACCCTCTACTGGGGATATGCCCGCAACCAAGGTACATGCCTTTGACCGGAATCGAACCCGGGACCCTTCAGTCCCCAAGCCGACGTTCTATCCCTTGAGCCAAACCGGTTTCGGCTCGGGCCTTTCGTTTTTATAACTGCTAACTAAGCTCCTTGAACTAAGTATGTGGAAAAGTTATCTATCCAATATAATAAAAGCCTAATATGTTAAATGTCCAGTCACCTGGTGACTGGTCAACTGTTAAACCAATCAAAGTGTAATATGCTAATGATATGCTAAGGACACTCAACTATTCGCTATGACATGCACTGACCACCAGGGGCAGACGCTCCAACCAGTAGGTTAGCTTGCTACTGTGGTCCGGCAGATTGAGACTGAGCAAGATGGGCTGGACATGCCCTGGAGCCCTCCCTGCCCCTGATCATGCACCAGTGGAGTCCCTCGGCCTGACCTGTGCCCTCTTACAATCCGGAACCCTTTGGGGGATGTTGGAGAGCCGGTTTCGGCCCAATCCCACAGGCCATTCCACTTGGGAGGGCACCAGATGCAGGGCTCACAGATGGTGAGTGTTGTGGCGGTGTAAACCTCTCCCAATCAGGACTGATTGGGTGTGAGCCCATGGCAGATGCAGTGGAGTCCGGATAAGCGGGAGTGACATGTAGGAGCTGCAGATAGTGTTGGTCTATGGGTTTTGGCCCTATCCCCACAGGCTACCCCAAAGGACCCCACCCATTCATGAATTCATGCCCTGGGCCTCTATCCTATATAATAAAAGGTTAATATGCAAATCGATTGGCAGAATGACCAGTTGCTGACGCATACTGACCACCAGGGGGCACTCAGTACAGGAGTAGCTAGAAGCCGGGCTCATAGCTGGCAAGCACAGCGGTGATGGAGGGAGCCTCCCCCACTTTGGTGGCAGCGCAAAGGATGTCCAACTGATGGCCTAGAGCAGAGTGGGCCTAAGCCATCAGTTGGGCATCCCCCAAGAGCTCCTGGGCTGCGAGCGTGCAGGCTAGGCTGAGGGACCCCCAAAGTGCACAAATGTCATGCACTGGGCGCCACCCCCCCCCTCCCTCCCCCCCCCCCCCCTCTCTCTCTCTCTCTCTCTATAGATATATATATATATATATATATATATATATATATATATATATATATATATATAAAAGATTAAGCAACCGGCTGGTAGCTATGACACACAATGACCACCAGGGTGCATACACTCTGACCAGTAGCTATGATGCGTACTGACCACCAAATGGCAGACTCAGTGTAGGAGCTGCTGAGCTGCCGTAACTTGGAAGCTGTGGTTCTCAGATGACACACTCGGAACCATTGAAGAGGGAGTCAGATTCCGGGGTATGTCACCCAAGAACCACCCTCTTGCAATCTGGGACCCCTTTCGGGGTGTTGGAGAGCTGGTTTTGGCCCAGACCCTGCAGGCCAGGCTGAGGGGCCCCACCAGTGCACGAATCTGTGTACTGGGCTTCTCGTATAGAATATAACATCCTGGATTTCAGAGACTGGTTCTTAAGCTAAAAGGCAATTGTCCATCTTCAAATGAATTTACATAGACTATCTTTCTGAAAATAAATTTCCTGTTATCAGCAATGTAAAATTATTCAAACACTATATTCCTAAACACAAGATTTCTCCTTTAATTCTGTGAGTGATATCTTATTTCTCTGTGCAAAATCATGGATGTTGATGGTTAGAGAGGTGCAGTCTGCATCAGAATCATTGTGTATTGTCTAGAGTTTTTCTCCCCTTGTGTCTTACTTGAATTTGTGTTGCATTAGTTGTCATTTTGCCCATTTCAACTTAGAGATTCTCATCCAAAGCAATAATTGTCATTGGGATACTTTTAGTAAATAAGCTTTCATCTCTTTAAATGACTCTTTACTGAGCTCCTACTCACCAGACATGGTGTAAGCCCTGGAGCTTCAGAAGGTGTGCCAGGAACCGTGGATTTGCTAATAGAGAAAACACATGATAAATATGGCCAATAATTGGAAGGTATAGCTTTATATATTTTTTTAGTTAGGCTTTAGTTTGAAACTTATCTTGGGCCCAGCCACAGTGGCTCAGTGGTTGTGTTTTGACCTATGAACCAGGAGGTTACAGTTCGATTTCCTGTCAGGGCACATACCCTGGTTGCAGACTTGATCCCCAGTAGGAGGCGTGCTGGAGGCAGACAATCAGTCATTCTTTCTCATCCTTGATGTTTCTATCTCTTCCTCTCCCTTTCTTTCTTAAATCAATGAAAAATATATGGAAAAAAAACCCCCCAAAAACCTTATCTTGGGACTTTTTCCCCCTGTGAATACTCCAAAAGAGAAAATCAAGAAAACTTCAAAGAATAGCTAAAATTTGAATTTGAATAAAGACTATCAACTCAGTAAAATTAATAATAAAGTGAAAATGTTGCTATCAGGCATGTAAGATATAAACAATTTAAGATAGAAAGGTGAACTTGGCATGTTGAAGTTTGAAATTATCCAATCATATTCTGCACTGATTAAAAATCAAATTGAATGCATATAAATTGTGAATGACTCATCTTCACCATTACTGTAACTTATTTGATTTTTTAAAAACTTTTTTTAAAAGGTATATTTTATTGATTTTTTACAGAGTGCAAGGGAGAGGGATAGAAAGTTAGAAACATCGATGAAAAAGAAACATCGATCAGCTGCCTCCTGCACAGCCCCTTCTGGGGATGTGCCCATAACTACGGTACATGCCCTTGCCTGGAATTGAATCTGGGACCCCTCGATCTGCAGGCTGATCCTCTATCCACTGAACCAAATCGGTCAGGGCTAAAAACTTTTTATTATGGAAAAATTTCAATTATGCACAAAAGAACAAATATTATATAGTAGTCTTCATGTCCTCATTTACCGGCTTCATTGTTTATCAACATATGTTTAATCTTGTTTCATCTATAATTCACCCCTGACTTGATTTTATGAAATAAGCCCCAAACATAACATTTCATCCGTAAAAATTTAATTTTCTCTAAAAGACAGGGATTAAACACACATAATCATAATACTTTATCACACTCCCTAAAAATTTTATAACAGTTATTCTTTGTCAAACATGCCAGTCAGTGTTCATACTTCTTAGTTGTATCAAAATGTCCTTTTACAGCTGATGAATTTGAAGTTGGATTCAAACAAGGTTACACATTATATATAGGTAATATGTTTCTTAAGTCCTTAAAACTGTAACAAATTTCCCAGTCTTCCCCACCCACCCCCATGATATTTATTTGTTGAAGAAACAAATCATTTGTCCTGCAGAATTTTGTTTTACATCTGGACTTGGCCCAGTGCATCTCTTGGTTTCATTTAAAACATTCCTTTATCCCCTCTATTTCTTGAAAATTGGAGGTTATATCTAGAGACTTAATTAGGTTTGGCTTTTTCTTTTTGGGACATGAATATTTTTTTGAAGGGGTTATACTTCCTACTGCAGTACATCATTGTATTCCTAATACCACATTGTCTTCTTTCTGTGTTATAGATATTCATCATTGTGAATGGGTATTTTCATCCTGATGCATCCATTTTAGCAGTTGCTCATGGTTTTGGCGACCAATGTGATTATTGCTTAGATCTGTTGTTTCTTTAGGGGTTGTAAAAGTGTCATATTCTCCTATATAATATCCTATATAAGAAAGTGGTAATATGCAAATTGACCATCACTCCAACACACAAGGTGGCTACCCCCATGTGGCCAAAGATGGCCGGCAGGGGAGGGTAGTTGTGGGCGATCAGGCTAGTAGGGAAGGGCAGTTGGGAGGGACCAGGCTGCAAGGGAAGGCAGTTGGGGGCGATTAGGCCTGCAGGGGAAGACAGTTAGGGGTGACCGGGTTGACAGAGGAGGGAAGTTGGGGTCGACCAGGCCTACAGGGGAGGACAGTTAGGGAGTGACCAGGCCAGCAGGGGAGAGCAGTTGGGAGGGACCAGATCTGCAGGGGAGGGCAGTTAGGGGTGACCAGGCCTGCGGGGTAGATAGGTTAGTTAGGGGCAATCAGGCTGGCAGGGTAGCAGTTAGGCATCAATCAGGCTGGCAGGGGAGTGGTTAGTGGGTGCTTAGGATGGCAGGCAGGAATAGTTAGGGGCAATCAGGAAGGCAGGCAGGCGAGCAGTTAGGAGCCAATGGTCCTGGATTGAGAGAGAGATCCCAGACTGGAAGGGTGCAGGCTGGGCTGAGGGACACTCCCCCTCCCCCTTGCATGAATTTCATGCATCATGCCTCTAGTAATTATATAATTTCTTATACATTTATTGGCTAGCATTCTATAAAATAAAACTTGGCAGTTTTAGTTATTCTATTCACCTGAAATGTAATTTTTATAGGAAAGATGGGATAAATGCTTGTTTAATTTCATTTACCAGTTTTAGAATAATGAATTGGTTTCCTAGTATCTTCCAAAGGAGACCACTGTACTTTTAAAAATATCATAATGAGCTCATGGATTTTTTGCATTTGCTTTGTTTCACTCCTTACAGCCCTTTTCAATGTCCAAATTTCATCTTTGACCAGTGGCTCCTGCAGGTTAGGTTGTTTTGTTTTTGACGTGCTAGTGTTTGATAGCCAACTTACTTCTTTAAGGATACCAAGGTGCACCACGAGGCTCATATTATAAATTGTCTTCTCAGACCTAGAATTAGCCTTTTATTAAAAAACCTGTTTATTTTTGAAATAGTAGTTAGAGACTTCAAAATGTGTTGAAGAAAATTAGGTTTCATCTGAATAAATAGCTGTCTTTCTGAAGTGTTTGAACACATGTTCCTTGTCATTAAAAAAAAAAAAAAAAGACATTCTGCAAACTAGCCTTTTAGTTTCCAATTTACTTTGAGGTAGTTACTAATTAAAACTGCTTTTTACATTGAATGCTGTATCATAAATCTGAACTAATCACATGACTGAGATTTGTACTTCTTTTTTTACTCTTGTTTTTTTCTCTTTAGCACACTACTTCATTCTTTAAAAAAATGTCTGCAGTAGGTTCTTCTCAACTATTTTTAGATCATTTAGGATATGTTGAATTGTAATAGATCAACCCTTTTCTTTTTTTAAGAAAAGTTTATTGTTGAAAGTATTGCATATGTCCCCCTTTCCCCCCCCAATTGATCCCTTCTAGCTGATCCATTTCTAATGTAAATTTTAAAGGGAGTGGGGCTGAGCACACAAGGTGTAGTAGTCAGTTATACAGTATATTTGTGTCACTTCCTCTTTTGTTCCATACATGGGAAGAAAAGGTAATAAAGTTTAGCACATCCATTTCTCTTCTGCATTTACTATGAAATCAAGTGGTTGCTTGGTGGCTTGTCCTATTAAGGTTTATTAAAAATCTTTTGGAATTTTACAAGTTTTATAAGGTCATTTCATCAGGTGTTTTAAAAGATTCTAAATTCACTTTGTCTTATGTCACATAGTGAGTACCTGATTTTAGATATAAATTACTAAGTCTTAGAAATAGGTCTTATATGTGACAGTCTGTGAAAAAGATACTATTAAATGACCAACCAAAGGGAGGTTTTATTCCTCAATACCTTGTCTTTTTTCATCTTGTTCTACAAAATTTGGTTTCACTGTGTCTGAAATTCTTGCACGCGCGCGCGCACACACACATGCGTACACACACACACATATATATTCTAAATGTGCTTTCATAAAGTGGTTCTTAATATTGAGATAATTTCATATGTAGTGGCTTGTCTGTTTATCTGGGGGTTTGTCCTTTTTTTCCTTACTCTATATTTGTTATCCATCTGCTCATGGGATCACAAATTTGCACTACCTTAATTTTTTCTTTTGAACATTTCTTATTCTCTGTGAGGTTATGCTTGTGGTGGTGTGTTTCTTTTCTTTTCTTTTCTTTTCTTTCTTTTTTTTTTTTTTTCATATTTTTAAGTTCTTTTATTATTCTGATTTTTTTTTCCTGCTCCATGATAATGGGAGTATATCTTGTGCCAACCTGAAATTATGTGAGTTTGAGGAGGAGTGTATTTGTTTTTGTTTTTTAATGAATGTGACAGCCTTTATAACCACATGTCTCATTGGATACAAAACTCTATGTGCATAATAGCTCAGGGTTTCTTTGTCTAATAACTTGAAATGCTTGATCAGTTTTGGGTAAAATTAGCACATAGTTATTCTACTTAAGCTTATAAAAGATGAAGATTATGCCCTTATACTACCTAATTCTTACCTTTTCTTTATACCTCAATGCATCCTAACCAGTTTTCATGTCTGTTTCTTGAGTTAGAATCTCAGTAACCTCTTTCTCGAATACTGTTTTTGTTGGTGTATTTCTCTGTTCTTGGCTTGAGTCTCGCGAAGTACATCATTACTTAAGAGAAGCTTGTGACTCGAATCCAGTTGCCCTCCTATTCTTTCCTCTATAGGACAGCCCATGTACTCTCGTGAACATGGTGCTGCTGCATCTGAGCGACTTCAGTTGGGGACACCACCTCCTCTGTTGGCAGCTCGTTTGGTGCCACCTCGAAACCTCATGGGATCCTCCATTGGGTACCATACCTCAGTCTCCAGCCCCACCCCTCTGGTCCCAGGTAAGCTTTGCTACAGATGGCCATCCACCTGTCTGCTCTTTTGTACCATAGCTAGCCGGTTTGTGAGATGATCTGGCATCTGATCTGCTGTCACAAATTTCCATTAAAACTTTTAGGTAGTTTTGTGTTGTTTTTTTTGTTGTTGTTTTTTCCTGTTCTTTGGTTTGTCCCTAGTGGCTGAAAGATGATTAGGCCTCCTGTGTGTCTGTCATCTCTGTTGTCTTCTGTATTTACTTTCATTGCTCCGGTAACAAAAGTCATGCTTATTCCTTAAACTAGTTTGTAATCTGATAGGTAGGAAGAGAATATATATTTGTATCTTTTCTAAGTCAGTTATACATTACAAGGAAAACTAGGTTAATTTTTCTTTAAAACAAAACAAAAACATTTGGTTTCTTGCTGATTGTGGACAAACCTGTTCTCCCCCACCCCGCCACCTTGTTGTATGGACTTGCTGTATAATGTAGTAATTTTTTGAAAACCTTTCTCCTATTTCATGTATATTTTGAAGACTTATGGAATGCTTTGTGGGTGTCTCATGAAGTTTTTAATTTCTCACCTTGTCTTTATTTAGTTCATTATAAAGGACTCTTAAGTTTCTTGAGTTTTGTGTATTCCCAGGAATTATAGAACAAGGTCATTTGATTATGTACTTTCTTTAAAACTTTATGCAGCCTTACCTATAAATGTTCTGTTAAGAGAACTAAGTGGTAACTGAAAACTTTTTTTTAAGTTTCTTTTAAAAAAATATTTTTATTGATTTCAGAGAGGGAGAGAGATAAAAACATCAATGGTGAGAGAGAATCATGGATCGGCTGCCTCCTGCACATCCCCTACTGGGGATCGAGCCCGCAACCCAGGCATGTGCCCTGACTGGAAATCGAACCTGGGACCCTTCCGTCCATAAGCTGATGCTCTATCCACTGAGCCAAACCAGCCAGGGCACTGAAAACTATTTTTAATCTTAATTTGATGATCTTATGCTCTGAATAATAGAACTGATTGGTCAATCAAGATCTTGTAGCTGAAATTTAATATGAATGACATAAAGAATACTTTTGTTAAGGAAACTAATAAAAGAGACACAAGGACTTCTAAATCACAATTGCAAAAATCACCATTTTCACTCAGTCCTTTCATTTCATGTAAGATGAAGAGGATATATATATATATCATTTGGAGACCAACACAGTTAGTATTAATACCAACAAAAGAGTTATTTAGCATGAAATTTAAAAAATTAATAATTTAGTTGTAGAGAAAACAAAAAGGACATGATAAAAGTGTTATTGATGGGGTGGGTGGTAGTAAGATAATGTTTACATTGATAAATATAAATTTATCTTATTTTTTAGCTTTTTGAAATAAAACATTTGAAATTTGCATTATGTATGAAGCCAGCTATTATCTCTCGCTAGTTTAAAGTGCAGATAATCTAATTAATCTGTTTTTCCCCCCTGCTAATTAAAAGAGTACCTAGAAATTGGTGAGACATAGTAACAGAGGAAACTCATATAGTCTTTTATATATGGTGTTCCATATATGTGAAAATTTCTCTTAAAAATGTGCATTGAAGTTTGAATAAGGTGATTAATATATAGGATAAAAATGACTAGTTAAATGAATCTGGAAATATATCAGTAATTAAGAATGAGTCCAGTTGGTGTGGCTCACTGGTTCAATTCTTGGTGAGGTCACATGCCCGGGTTGTGGGCTCAGTCCCAGTAGGGGGTATGCAAGAGACAGCTGATTGATGATGTTTCTCCAATGTTTCTACCTCACTATCACTTTCCCTTCTTCTCTCTCAAAATCAATAAAAACATTTTTTCAAAAATTTTTGTAAAAGAACAGATTTGTGTGTCTGTTCTGTGATGAAGCGCTTTTATGGCAAAGCACTTTTATTTCTTTCCCTTCTAATAGTTGTGTCTATATACTGTAATTCAAAGAGAAATATATATGGATTGACATACTCATTGAAGAAAATTTATTTTTGGCAGTTATTTTATAGTAAAGGAAATTATTTAAATACTCTCTGATTTGTTGTGTGTTTTGTTGTTTTATTTTTCCTCAGATACATATGAACCAGATGGTTATAACCCAGAAGCTCCTAGTATTACCAGTTCTGGTAGATCTCAGTACAGACAGTTCTTTTCAAGAACACAGACACAGCGCCCAAACCTGATTGGCCTAACATCTGGAGATATGGATGCAAATCCAAGAGGTGAGAGCACCTTGAATGCTTTCTGATGCTAAGTGTTTCGCAGGAGTTGGATATAGCATTTCTTCCCTCACTGAAATCTAAAAGTATTTAAATACTATCTCTGAAGGGTCCTATACAGTCACCTCAAATAAATTTATTTGAATAAATTTTTTTTATAATATATTTTATTGATTTTTTACAGAGAGGAAGAGAGCGGGATAGAGAGTTAGAAACGTCGATGAGAGAGAAACATCGACCAGCTGCCTCCTGCACACCCCGCAACCAAAGTACATGCCCTTGACCGGAATCGAACCTGGGACCCTTCAGTCCGCAGACCGATGCTCTACCACTGAGCCAAACCGGTTTCGGTTGAATAACTTTTATCTCCAAAATTTATTTTAAAGCTATAATCAGAAAGAATTTTTAAATAAAAATAATACTAATGGAATTTAATAGCTTTTTTGTAGGACTTGAGTCTGTTTAGCTGAATACTGGACATTGTTCTAGTTATAGGCATCCTATATAATCAAAGCCTAATAAGCAAATTGATAGAACAGTGGAAGGACTGGAGGAATGATGGGTCACTATGATATGTACTAACTACCAGGGAGCAGATGCTCAATGCAGGAGCTGCCCCCAGCCCTCAGGCCCCAGGCCAGCCAAGGCAGTTGCCAGCGGTCCCCCCACCCCCATCGCCCCTCCAGTTGCCCCACAGATTGGCCCTGATTGCTGGCCAGGCCTAGGAACCCTACCCATGCACAAATTTCATGCTCTCTAGTAAAAATGTGAATTGACATGGTGCTCTCTAGTAAAAATGTGAATTGACATGGTGCCTTGCCCTCGAAGAACTGATCATTTAAGAGCCTATTTTGTATCATTGAGAGCTGTAATGATTGACAACATAAACTCTTAAATTATTTGACCATTTCTAGTGTTTATGATTATACAAGCATATGTTAGGACCTTAACAAAGTATAGTCATAAACCTTAAAAGATTAAGTGCAAGCATTTACCTTCAGTATGGGTTGATACCTTTCTTTCCCCTTCTCTTAAAAAAAAAAAGTTTGGATGAAGAATTTGATGAGATTTAATTTTTTTGTTATTATAGTTAGATTTTCAATATTTAATTTTAATGACTGGCTATGGGCCAACCTGACAATATTTTTCTGCTTTAATTATATGGTGAGCATTTTCCTATCCTGATTTTAACTTCTTTACTGCCACTAATAACAGTATTATTACTACAGGTTAAACTATTTTTTTTTAATTAAATTATTATCTGTGTACATATTTTAACATTGCTCCCCCTCCCATACATACTCTCCCTCCCCAGAGTTTTGTGTCCATTGGTTGTACTTATATGCATGTATACAAGTCCTTCGGTTGATCTCTTATCACCCCCAGATCTCCCTACTCTCCCCGCTGTAATTTTACAGTCTGCTTGTTGCTTTACTATCTTTATATCTGACTTTTGGTTTGTCAGTTTATAATGTTCTTTAATATCCATAAATGAGTGAGGCCATGTGGTATTTCTCTTTCATTGACTGGCTTATTTCACTCAGCATGATGTTCTCTAGTTCTATCCAGGTTGCTGCAAATGATGAGAATTCCTTCTTTTTTATGGCAGCATACTATTCCATTGTGTAGATGTACCATAGTTTTTTGATCCAATTATCTGCTGACGGGCACCTAGGCTGTTTCCAGATTCTAGCTATTGTAGATTGTGCTGCTATGAACATTGGGGTGCATATATCCTTTCTGATTGGTGTTTCTAGTTTCTTGGGATATATTCCTAGGAGTGGGATTACTGGGTCAAATGGGAGTTCCATTTTCAGTTTTTTTGAGGAAACTCCACACTGTTCTCCACAGTGGTTGCACCAGTCTGCATTCCCACCAGCAGTGCACGAGGGTTCCTTTTTCTCCACAACCTCACCAACACTTGTCGTTTGTTGATTTGTTGATGTTGCCCATTCTGACAGGTGTAAGATGGTACCGTATTGTTGTTTTGATTTGCATCTCTCGGATAATTAGTGAGGTTAGACTATTTTGTGTCTAAGAATAAGACATAGTCCTATATAAGCACAGTATTATTACTGCACACAAGGAAATCACAATTCCATAATAATATTCTATCCAGGTGAATTTCTTGCTTAATTACATCAGAAGATAAATAATTTTACTATACTTATGGTGCTAAGTTTGATTGCTTGCCATAGGACCTATGTACTTATGGTGCTAAGTTTGATAACTGTTCAATCTCTTCATTGTAAAGTAAATAATTCATGGAGTGATACTTTGGCACTAGATAAATATCTTGTCTTCCAACAATCTTCCACTGATTTTTTTTGTATGCATTCATTAATGAATTTTGCCTGAATCATTTGCTACATTGGGGTTGCCTATTTTTAAACTTAGGTATTATATTATTTTTTTAAAACAAGGAAAAGAAGGCAAGGCGATTGATAAGGTTTTCTTGTGCTTGGGTGTTTCTGAAAAGGAAGTGGTCCTAGTTGGGTGCTGTTCACGGTGCTTTTTAACTTTTAATCATTTTGAATTTCCCCAAATATAATGCAATGTCAGTAATATTAATTTTTGTTTCCAACAGCTGCTAACATTGTCATCCAGACTGAACCACCAGTTCCTGTTTCAATTAATAGCAACATAACCAGAGTAGTTCTTGAACCAGATAGCCGAAAAAGAGCTGTGGGTGGCCTGGAAGGGCCACTCACAAAGAAACCTTGGCTTGGAAAGTAAGATAATTTGCTAATTAGTAGCATTGAATTGGTGTTTTTATTATTTTTGCTTGCATTAGTAAATTTGTATAATTAAGAATTATTTTTAATCAGTGATTATCAAACTATGTGTCAAAGTTAGGGTGCCCCAAGGCATCCTTAGAATGTCTTAAAAATGGAAAAGTTAACAAAATATTTATAATAGATATTGGTAATTTGTACTACTTATTTCTAGGCCTAACCCAATATTAAGAATTGAGACTCTGGAAATAAGTAAAAAGGAAAAAAAATCTGTACTTTTGCAGAAGTTGAAAAATGCACTGTAAAAAATATATTCTTTTCTTGCTTTAATGTTAGATTCCTTGATAGTTGTGGTGGATCTTTTTAGCATTACTTTTAAACTTAGTTGGGCCTTTTTTTATTTTTTTATTTTGGCCTTTCAGTCTTCTTTCTCTCTACCTATTCTAATCCCACTTAATTAATGTGAAAATTATTTTGTACTTTATAAAGAGTGTTTAGTGCTTACAAAAGACAGTTTCAAAAAACGTAACCTTACATTCTTTGTAACCTTTTATATATTTTTGGCGAGACATGAGGTAGAGAGAATTTACCAAGATTTATTAGTTAATCAAGATTTCCTAAGTCATTATTCTTTATGGCATTTTTTTTTCTTTCAGGCAAGGAAATAACAATCAGAGTAAACCAGGATTCTTAAGAAAGAATCAGTATACAAATACCAAGTTAGAAGTCAAGAAAATTCCTCAGGAGTTAAACAACATTACCAAGCTCAATGAACACTTCAGCAAATTTGGAACTATTGTTAACATCCAGGTAAATGTGGCAATGTTCATGACAGAATCCATGTATTCAATGCATTTTTGAAAATATTACTATCAACTCACCTTATTTAAATGAGCCAGTGATTAGTGTGATCATCTTTGCTAACACTACCTATCTGTATGTCCAACTTAATGATGGAATTGTTAAGCTGATTTTTTTTTTTTAATTGATTTGGTTCTTCTCTGCAACCTCTTCCTGAGAGACACTGAGTTAGTTACTGTATTTTTATAGCTTTATCTCTGAACAGATGACTTGATTGCCTGCTTTAGTATTCTAACTAGGTAGGTGAGATTCTTGGTAATTTCTACTATGGTCATTTTGTCCACTGACTCACTTTTATATTATGGTAAATTAGTTATTGGTTAAGGCTGTTCTAATCTTGAGAATTTTAAGCAGTGCAACATATTTTCTAACATCAAATTGTAGCTTTTGTATTTTTCTGTCTCCTTAACGAATATTTGAATTTATGAATTTGTGGTTGGTGTTACGCTGTAATTGAGGGTACTTAGAGGCTTGTTTAAGTTGGAATTTTCAGTCATTTACCCATGATACTTAGTGTTACCACCAAATAAAAATAGCCTATCTAATAAAGAGAAAATATGCAAATTGACTGTCATGCTGTCACAAAGATGGTGGTGCCCATAGCGGCGGTGGGTTTTCTGTAACCAGATGGCTGTGCCCACAGCGAAGGTGAAGTTTCTGTAGCACAAGATGGCTGCACCCCTAGTAGAGGCTGAGTTCCTGTAATGAGCTTTAATGAGCAATCAGCGGGGACCTGAGACTGCACCACTCCATGCCCCCCCTCCACCCCACCCAAGTGTGGCATGTCAGGGGACAGCTGCAGCCCCCACCCAACAGGGCTTGATGGGGAACCTCAAGGTATGCCCCCTGCCCTGGTGCTGAGCCGGGGGACCTCAGCTGCTCCCCTAACCCTGGGCCAGGTAACCTGAGGCTGCACCCTCTCCCCCATGGGGCTTGATAAGGGACTTCAGGCCCCGTCCCCCACCCTGGTGCCGGGCTGGGGGATCTGCGGCTGCCCGGGCAGGGTTTGACGGGTCCTGAGGCTATGCATTCTTCCCGGGTTCGGGGCTTGATGGGGACTTGAAGCTGTGTGTGTAACCCTCCACCCCCGCCTGCCCTGCAGGAGTTGACAAGGGTGGGGCTAGCCAGGTATGGATCTTGCCCAATGGGGGTTGGGTCAGCTTGGTCTGGGTCTCGTGCGATTTTGAGACACCTCGCAGGTGGGTGGGGATTTCACTCTGGGTCCTATGGCACGCCCCAGACTCTGACTGTAGGAATATTTTTATATACATTTTACTAATTTTCTTTCATCTTTGATACTTCTATTATAGAGAAAGGACAAATAGCAATATTAAATATTTCCTCTAATTAATCCCCTTTTAATGTGCACGAATTTCATGCACTGGGCCACTAGTAATTTATATAACTAAGTTCATGAAGGTAGCTCTGACCAAGTGGCTCGGTTGCTTACAGTGTCATCCCATACACTAGGTCCAGTTTTCCAGTCAGGGCACATATCTAGGTTGCAGGTTCTATTACTGGTCAGGGCGTATATGTTTGATCAATGTTTATCTCTTACATTGATATTTTTCTCTCCAAAAATCAATAAAAACACATCCTCAGGTGACGATTAAAAACAAGAAGGTTGTATTGGGGGACTTGGCATTTCAAAGAATTGAGCCAAACTACTACTTTTTTTTTTTTTTTTTTTTTTTTTAGAGAGGGAGATTTTTCAGCAGGTTTTACCCCTGAGAGCAGAAGTGGTGCCTACTTAATTCCTTTGATTAGTGCCCCACCTTTATGACTCACTTACCTCTGAAAAGCCTATCCTTAAAGCTTATTTCTGAATAGTCTCATTGGAAGTTAAGGTTTCAACATTTGAATTTGGGCATGGGGAGGGCACAGTTTAATTCTGTATAATCTCTTGTTGGGAATTTATTTTTTTTTTCTATATAAAAACAATGCTGTGGTGAGCCTCCTTGTGGATAAATCTTGCATTATTTTTTATGATTCATTGCTGAATTAAAGGAAATTTTAAGACCTTTTATTTGAATTACGAAATTGTTCTTCAAAAGGGTTGTGCCAATTGATACTCCCAAATTTAGTGTCTAAATCCTCATCAGCACTGTAATATGGATTCATTAGATTTTTGTAATGAATTTAAGTGCAAAATTATTTGTTATAATCTGCTTTGTTTATTACTATGTAGACTAATTTATATAGACCATTTACAGTTCTTTTGTATTTACTCCTTGGTCTTTGTCCATTTTTTATACAAAAGCATTTATAGTAGTGCTTTTCTAAGCTTTTGCTTGTCATCTATATTAAAAATAGTTTTTCTATTATTTATTTTGTTTATGGCTTGTTTGGACTGACAGTTTTTAAATTTTACATTGTCAAATCTGCTATTTGTCTTTATAGGGATGTATACAGGGGCTTTTCAGACCTTGAGATTATACAGTTATCTTTTTTCTTCTGGGTCTTTATGCGGTTATTTTGTTTGTTACTGTATCTCTGGAGTTAGTTTGAATGTGAGATATCATGGAGGAATCTAATAGCTCCTCAGTGATTAGGTAACAGTAGGATTATTTATTGGATCTAACGTTCTTTTGTATATAATTTTGAAATAGGCATATCATCTTTTAGGGGCTAGAGAACTTTATTTTACAAAGGATTCACAATGGATCTCAGCAGGCTGTTTTCTACTTCTGAATTATTTATCAATTTATTTGCATTTAACTATTCGTTAATATCTGTTTTTGTTGTTGATTTTGTTGTTTCTTACAGGTTGCTTTTAAGGGAGATCCAGAAGCAGCCCTTATCCAATATCTTACCAATGAGGAGGCCAGGAAAGCCATTTCTAGCACTGAAGCTGTTCTAAACAACCGATTCATTCGAGTCCTGTGGCATAGAGAAAACAATGAGCAACCAGCACTACAGTCTCCAGCACAGCTGCTCCTACAACAACAGCAAACACTTAGTCACATGTCACAACAGCACCATCATCTGCCACAGCACCTTCATCAGCAATCTTCTACTGCAACGGTACATGGAAGTATCCAGAAGGTAATCTACTGGTTCACATGGAATTAGAAGTCCTCTAGTCCCTTCCTATAGATCAGTGTTCCTCAATTTGCAGTCTTTTGGTCTTCTACACCAGAGCCACACAAGTTGATCTGCAGATCAGCATCTGTTCTTCTGGAAGCAATTTCTTTGGCCTCCCCACAACTGTTGAATCAGAATCACTGTGTGGGGCCCAAGAATGTGTGTTTAGGAATCTATATATATATATATAAAAGCCTAAGCAACAGGCCTACTATTCAACTGGCCAACCAGTACCTATGACGCACACTGACCACCAGGGGCCAGACGCTCAATGCAGGAGCTGCAGTGATTTGGCAGCTGCGGTTCTTGGGTGAACCAGAGAGGAGGGAGCCCAATTCTGGGGTGTGTCACTCAAGAACCACTCTCTCGAAATCCGGGACCCCTCAGGGGATATCGGAGAGCTGGTTTCAGCCCAATCCCCATAGGCCAGGCTGAGGGACCCCTCTAGTACACAAATCCATGCACCAGGCCTCTAGCCCATTGGACAAATCGTGAGTTTGGCCCTTATAGAAACTTTCTGACTTAGCTAAATGATGAGAGTACAGGACCTACCTGCTACGGCTCTAATGTCTGGCGCTGTGCTGGCCCATCCACTTAATATCGATTTCCAGTGGAGGCAGTGAATTTTTCTGTTACCACTTATAGCTGGGAAACTGGCTGTGGCTTCCCTCCTTCCAGGTGGACAGTAGTGCCATTGAACTTCCTCCGGGGAGGGAAGGAGGCAAAGGAGCAGTTCAGTTGGAAAGAAAGAGGTTCTCGCTGCCATGGAACTCCACTGGGGTGGAAGGACCTGGGCAGGAGCCTGACATTGAGTAAGGTCCTGCTCGAGGCTGACTAGATTCCAGGCTAAGTAAATCCTTAATAGTTGGCTAAATAATTGCATATTGCAGCTAAATGCCCATAGGTTGTAGTTACCACCAAACTTAGGGTAAAGTGAGATGAAAGAAGCTCGACAGATACAGAAAGTGACATAATATTTGGAGAAGATAGGAGGGAACCTGATTCTGGGGTGCGTCACCTGAGAGCCACCCTCTCCCAATCTGCAACACCTTAGGGGATGTCGGAGAGCTGGTTTGGCCCAATCCCCGCAGGCCAGGCCGAGGGACCCCACAGTGCATGAATCCGTGCACCTCTAGTATATCTATAACAAGTTCTCCAGGTAATTCTTTTATACACTAAGGTTTGGGAAGTGCTCTTCTCCTGTTCTACATTAAAATCACTTATCTAGGTATACATTCCTGGGCCTTTTCTTTCCAAACCTATAGTCAATTTCTAGATATAGGGCCCATGAACCTTAATGTTGAAGCAATACTCTGAGTGATTTTTCTCAATACTAAAGTATAATAACTGTCCATCACTGAACAATTCTGAACCTAGAACTTCTGAGTGTTGGGGTTAGAATAAGTCACCCTTGTACCTGTCCTTTTGTCTTACTTTCTTCCATGTAGAGAAATTCTGTTCCTTTTAAAACTGAAAGGAAAGCTGCAAGAGAATGGGATTTTGTCTGTTATATTCATTCTATGCCTAGTGCTTAAAACAAGGCCTGGCATATATTGCTCAAAATACATTTGAATGAGTAGATGAAGGAAAGAACAAATGCATTAGAAGTCATTTAGATATTGATGATAATTATAATCTCCTTTTTAAAAGTATTCCTTACATAATCTTATCTTTATTCATCATCCTGCTTATTTGCACCTGTCTGCATTTCTTTTGTCTAGGTGCCACTTCATTCTAGGGTCCAAAGGTGAATTCTTTCCCTAGATGTTGCCTGCATGGTATATAAAAGAGTGATATCTTCACCTCTGTGATCAGTAGACCCTGTTATGTTAATGCAGTCTAATATTGTATTATGCTTTGGGAGTGATCCTAACACACTATTATTTATAGTAAGCTACTGTCAATTAAAATGCTTAAGTCTGTCAAAGCATTACATATTGAAGAGAATATTAACATTCCTGAGCATTTAAAAAACTTATACATATGTGTTCATTTTGTATATATAGATGATGAACAAACCACAGACACCGGGTGCATATGTTCTTAACAAAGTTCCTGTGAAACATCGTCTTGGACACGCAAGTGCTAACCAGAGTGATGCGGCACATTTGTTAAATCAGTCAGGTGGTGCTGGAGATGATTGCCAGGTGTGTGTTTCTGTGAGCCTCAAGTATGTTCAGAGTTGTTCAGAACAAGGAAATTAACAAATTGATTACCATCAATTTATATTGTCTTGTTTTTCTTAGATAAGTGTGTCAGCTAATGTAAATGTGGCGGATATACTTTCCTAATTTCCATGATTTAGCTAGAAATTTGCTAGTCAAAAAATTTTTTCTATTCAAAGCTAAATAGGAATTTGATAATTTTAGACAGTTATTAGTAGGTAGGTGTCTTTATTAGTTCATATCTTTTATAATTTTTCTCTTTAATATGAAGAGCATAGTGAAGGAGATTCTGTTATAATTAAAAGTTGAACATTAAAATTTATTTTAAGTAGTTCCTTTTGCTTTTAGGAATATATCTATAAACATTGTCTCTCCAGCATAGTTATTATTTCAAAGAGAGCTAGGAAATCTCTGAAAAACAACAAAAGGGGCTAGCTCTTCTAGACATTAAAAAATGCTTTGAAGTTTATATAAATAACATAATTTGATTTTGGCACATGGAGAGACAGTCCAGTGGAACAGAATAGAAGATCGAAAAATAGGCTCATTTGCAAATAGGAATTTGTTTGCCAACACAGTATCTCAGATCAGTGGGGGAAATATGGACTTTATGAGAGTGTTGTAGGGCTAACTGGAAAGCTATATAGAAAACAGAGAATTAGATCCATTTAAAAAATCACATAGTAAATGAGGATAATTTCCAAAAGGATCTGAGATTTAGATGCTGATAGAAATGCTAAATGGTACAGCCCTCCTGAAAGTGTTAGATTATTTGGAGTAGGATTTAAGAAAACTGGAGTAATTCTATGATTAGATATTATCTAATAAAGAGGGAATATACAAATTGACCGTAATGCCATCACAAAGATGGCAGTGTCCATAGCCATAAGATGACAGTGCCCAGTCCCCTTAGCCCTGCCAGAGTCTCCTAGTCCTTTCAGCCCCGTTGGGAGGGAGGTGTGGCACGTGTGCCATGCTGTTGGACCCACCCACAGGCCCCAGGTGCCTAGGGCCGGCCTGAGGCGCAGCAAGCCTCGAATGGTGGCTGCCCAGCCTTGCAGGGCCGCCCAAGGCTCAGGTAATCAGGTCTTGACGAGGCTTGGGCTGCTGGCAGTGACAGCAGCAGAGGTGTGATGGGGGCATCGCCTTTCCCTGATCACCAGATCACCTCCTGTCTCTGAGAGCTTCCAGAATGCGAGAGGAGGCAGGCTGGCTGACACAGACAGACAGACACACACACACACACACACACACACCCTGCCCCCCACCCCATCAATTTTTGTGTGTGTGTGTTTTTTTTATTTGAGTGCCAGTCGAATTTAGGAGTGAAGAACTAGTTTTACAAATGTCATTTTTAAATGTAAAATATAAAATTTAACTCTCCCAAAAAAGAAATACATTCAGTTTTTATAAAAAATGACTTGGAGTCATTTTTAAGATTTAATTGAATCATATTTGTGTTTCACAGATATTTTCACCTCCAGGCCATCCAAAAATGATTTATAGCTCTTCAAACTTAAAGACTCCTTCAAAACTTTGTTCAGGGTCTAAATCTCACGATGTTCAAGAAGTTCTTAAAAAGAAGCAGGTAACAGCTTTGATTCTTCTTTTGTTAAAGAGGAAAGGTCCCACTGAATTCTTAAGTGATTGTGTTAACACCTTTGGCTGTTGATATTGTTATGGAACTCCATGATCATGTTTATTTAGCTGCTGCTGGGTGCAGTGTACACTTGAACTAAAGGTTAACAAACAGAAAAAATGTTTTGCAATTGCCTTTTGGAGGCTACATCAAGCACAAGGAAAGACTTTTTCTGTGCAAAAGTAAACAGCACCAAACTGTAATATTTTTTCATTCTCCAAGGGCTAGAAGCAGAGATTTTATTTCATTATTTATTTATTGTTCTTTATGGCTTTTCAAGTTAGATAATGTTTCACATATAATATAACTACTTATGTAGTTATTCAGATGATTCAATTCTGAGTTTCAAATCATCTTAGATTTAAACAGTTTTTCAAATAAAATATTTATATATATTACCTCAGCATAATTTGATAATTAACAGGTGTGGATGCAACATTTTCCTGGCAAAAAACATTATATTTTGCTGCTGTTTCTAATCTGTTGCTCATCTCACATTTTTAAACTTCAAAAATAAGGATTTGGCTTATTACACTGACAAATGAAAACACTTCTTAATTTTCCTCAGTTACATTTAGGTCATTCAAATGAATGAACATCATAGATACAGCTAATTAATGTTTTTTAAAGTACAGTTATAAATGCAAAGTTTTTTTATATTGAAAATGTTGGGACAATATATTTAAAGGTTTTCTCTCTGGTTTTCAGCTATTTTTTTAAAAAATATATATTTTATTGATTTTTTTTTTTACAGAGAGGAAGGGAGAGGGACAGAGAGCTAGAAATGTCAATTAGAGAGAAACATCGACCAGCTGCCTCTTGTACACCCCCCACCGGGGATGTGCCCGCAACCAAGGTACATGCCCTTGACCAGAATTGAACCCGGGACCTTTCAGTCGTAGACCGACGCTCTACCACTGAGCCAAACCGGTTTCAGCAGTTTTCAGCCATTTTTTGACCATTAGGAAATTTATCTTATTATAGGGATGGCCCAGAAGAAACGAATTGAGAATGAAGTAGCCTTATGTATCATTGGCAAATTTTGTTATCTATTATTAATTTTTTCTTTACCTATTCATATAGGAAGCAATGAAGCTACAACAAGATATGAGGAAAAAAAGGCAAGAAGTGTTAGAAAAACAGATAGAATGCCAGAAGGTAAGATAAGAGCTCATTATTTGCCTATTGGAATTGATGTGTAAAATGGATTTTATAAAGATATTCCTAATAGTAAATATTTTAAAGTTATTTTTATATACAGTTTATTAAGCAGAGTTTTCCTTTTTCCTGTTTGTTTTGTAGATGCTAATATCCAAGCTAGAAAAAAACAAAAACATGAAACCAGAAGAGAGAGCAAATGTAATGAAGACTTTGAAAGAGCTTGGTGAAAAGATCTCACAACTGAAAGATGAATTAAAAACATCTTCTGCAGTCTCTACACCATCGAAAGTAAAGACCAAAACAGAGGTATATTTGCACTTTTATCTATTTATTTATTCAAAAAAATTTTTTAAATTAAATTATTATTTGTATACATATACCATTGCCCTCCCTCCCCAGAGTTTTATGTCCATTGGTTGTACTTATATGCATGTGTACAAGTCCTTCCGTTGATCTCTCATCTTCCCCAGATCTCCCTCCCCTCCCCACTATAATTTTATATTTGCACTTTTAAAAATATATATTTTTAATTGGTTTCAGAGAGAGGAAGAGGGAGCGAGAGATAGAAACATCAATGATGAGAGAGAATCATTTGATTAGCTGTTTCCTGCACACTCCCCACTGAGGACCAAGCCTGTAACACGGGCATGTGCTCTGACCTGGAATCTAACTGTGACCTCCTGGTTCATATGTCAGTGCTCAACCACTGAGCCACCTGGGCTATTTGCATTTTTTATTCAACATAGGGTTATTGAATATCTGTTACATGTTTAATACTTTGAAAGTACAGTTCAACCTTTAGGTGGCTAATAATTTAAAGGGGAGACAATTGTAGTAATAAGTTTAAAAATATTTCTATAGATGCTATATATACTGTCTTTGAAAGAGATAAATAAAGGTGTATTTTTTTAATTGAAATGTTTGGTTCTCTCTGCTGAACATGAAACTACTAAAGTGGTGGCGAACAAAGAGGTTACTTCCTATTTCAGCAATTTTTAATAATTTATGATAGTGTTGTAATGAAACCATATGGGCAAAAATGTGGCATTCTATAGGAAAGAATAATTGGAAGAAGCACTAGATCAATTGAAGTCTAATTTTGTTAATTTTTTGTTTTGTTTTATGTTGTTTGTTTTTTAAGAAGAAAGGAAGAAAGAAAAAGAGGAACATAGTTAAAAGAATAAAATGGCAATAAAATTCATACCTATCAATAATTAAATGTAAATTGCTTATATGCTCCAATCAAAAGACAGTATGGGGTTACCTCAAAATATTAAAACTGGAAATGCCATATGACCCTGCATTTCCACTCTAGGAATATATCCAAAGAAAGCAAAACACTAATTTGAAATAATATATGCATTCCTGTGTTGATTGCAGCATTATTTCCAATAGACAAGATTTGGAAGCAGCCTAAATGCCCATTAGTAGATGAATGAATAAATTAGATAGGGAATAAATTTGTCAGATGTAATATATATATATATATATATATATATATATATAACACAAGTTTTTAAATTCAATATTATGTTACATTTGAAACTATGGTTCTCTATTATGCTAGCTAATAAAAGGGTAATATGCAAATTGACCGTCACTCCAACACTCCAAATGACCACCCCATGTGAACACAAGATGGCCACCACAAGATGGCCAGCAGGGGAAGGCAGTTGGGGGTGACCAGGCTGGCAAGGGATGGCAGTTAGGGATGATCAGGCCAGAAGGGGCGTACAGTTGGGGGTGACCAGACCTGCAGGGGATGACAGGTGCAACCAATCCAGCAGGGGAGGGCAGTTGGGGCAATCGGGCTGGCAGGGGAGGAGGTAGGCATCAATCAGGCTGGCAGGGGAGTGGTTAGGGGTGATCAGCCTGGCAGGCAGAAGCAATTAGGAACAATCTGGCAGGCAGACAAGTGAGTGGTTGGGAGTCAGCAGTCCTAGATTTTGAGAGGGATATCCAACTTCCTGCAGTTAGGCATCCTTCTAGGGGTCCCAGATTGGAAATGGTGCAGGTTGGGCTGAGGGACAACTCGCCCCCATGCACGAATTTTGTGCACCAGGCCTCTACTATGAATGTAAAGTGTTTTACTAAGATTCCTTTTTAAAAATATATAAAAATGTTTTTATTGAAAATTTCCCAGTTATGGAAAGAACATAGGCACATTTTGAAAATTAAAGAGAATATATATAGGAGAAAAATAATTTCTCACAGTCGCTTACCCTGAAGACTGATTATTTGTCTCATACTCCCTCCTTCTCCCCCAAAAAAGCGTGGCAATAGTTATAGGGTCCATATCTGAAAGGAGTTGTGTTTGTACTATTAATGCCGGACGTTGGGCGTCATTTAACGCCAGTGGTCTTGATCTGGCATCTAGAAGAATTCAGCAATCTGGAGATGGGTCGTACATAGATTAAATGAGTCCAAAGAGGAAAGATAATTTTGAAAGGCATTGGGGTCAGAGGAGCCTGGCTGAAGAAACCAAGTTCTCCTTATCTCAGGACTCCTTATCTCAGGACCCCTTGCTTTTTATTAACATAAAGTATCCTTAGGCAAGGTGGATATGCACTTCAAAGGATATGGTTTTGAATGGACTCTACAGAGTCCATTGTCAGAATGGGAAATTGCCTTGGCTGTTCAGGTGTTTGGCCAACAGGAGGCAATAACATGTAGATTAAGAAGCCCTGAGCTGTCAGGTAGCAAACAATCATCCTTTTCAGGTTTGGGGAAATGGCTTTAGCCATTCCCAACAGGTGACGACGTATGTGACTCAACATATGTTGAGTCCCCAAGTTCCATCAACCTTTAAAAAAAAAAGAAAAAAAAAAAAAAATATATATATATATATATATATATATATATATATATTTTTTTTTTTTTTTAATAGAGGAAGAGAGAGGGATGAAGGATTAGAAACATCGATGAGAGAGAAACATCAATTAGCTGTCTCCTGCACACCCCCTACTGGGGATGTGCTCGCACCCACGGTACATGCCCTTGACAGGACTCAAACCTGGGACCTTTCAGTCCGCAGGCTGATGCTCTGTCCACTGAGCCAAACTGGTTTAGGTTCCATCAACCTTTTGATGAAACACTTGCAGTTAAGACATGCTGGAACTGGCTTCCAGCATACTATGAATGAATTTTTACTATATAATTTGCCCTATTGTATTTTATCATGTGAAAATTATTCTCATCTCAGTTGACTTTCCAAAACCTGAGTTTTAGGCCATCTTAAGCAATAATCTTTATTATTTTTACTGATATCACTATGCTCTGCACCTATTGTCAGTACTGTATCAATAAAATTACTTCCTCTAAAACACTCATCTGCATTGCATCCTCTCACTGTCATTTTTCCAAAAGACATGTGTGTCATTCTGTAAGTTTAATACTCTGAATAAGATCTTGGAAGTAATCTAAAAAATACACTAATACTCTTAATTTTTCCAAAGGCCCAAAAAGAACTATTAGATACTGAATTGGACCTTCACAAGAGACTATCCTCAGGAGAAGACACAACAGAATTACGGAAAAAACTCAGTCAGTTACAGGTTGAGGTGAGACTTAAGAGATATTACTGACTCACTAAATTTAACATTTAAAAAAATAGTTTTCTCTTTTTCTGTTTTCTAAGGTTTAATCTAACAGTGTGTATTTTATTCTGCCTTTGGTGGTGGTTATTCAGGCTGCACGATTAGGTATCTTACCAGTGGGTCGTGGAAAGACCATGTCCTCCCAAGGTCGAGGAAGAGGCCGAGGTCGTGGAGGAAGAGGAAGGGGCTCACTAAATCACATGGTGGTGGACCACCGGCCCAAAGCACTGTCAGTTGGGGGACTCATTGAAGAGGAAAAAGATGATTTACTTCAGCATTTCTCAGTAAGTTTTTAAAGTAGCAAAAACTAACTCTAAAAACACTGTATTCAGCATTTCCCGGCTGCATTCTGTATAAATGCCAAATGTTTTATACATTAGAAAAGAAGTTGTAAAAACATGGGTATTAGCAAAATTTTATTAATATATTTAAAGGTCAAGAAGAAACTCATGTTCTGTAATTCCATAATACTCCTCATAAATGCATTTGTAGTGATAAGTTGTTCCAAAGCTATCTTTGATTTTTATTTTGCAGTTATTGCATGGTTTACTAGGTATTGATAGTTAATAAGTGAATAATCTGGGATGGAAGCACAATTCAAAGGAAGAATTTATTAGGATAAGAGACATATTTAGTTATGTTTTGTATACACATGCACCCATTTATTTTTCAACAAAACATGCAAATAGAAGTTTGATACTGATAAATGACTATTATTTTGCACATAAACAATATACTCTCTCTTTTTATTAAATTTATTGGGTTGACATTGTTCAACATGAACATAAAGGTTTTAGGTGTGGGTTTCTATGTTACAAGAAGTATATTCTCCTTCCAACAACTCATTAATTCATTCGGTAAATATTGTTATTTGTGCTAAAGCATTTGCACATATGATCTCATTTAAATAACTAAAGTTCATGTGAAGTCACATATGGACAGATGGGAAAACTAAAACTTAAAACAGTAAGTTAACCAAGATTAAACAGTTAATAAGTAATAAAACCAAGGTAGAAATGCCTAGTTGTTAGCATCAGGATCCCTATTATTTAGGCAACTTCTTTAAGAGAAAACATTTTTAGCCTGATTAAGTGCTAAAGATGTTGAGGGAAATCTTAACAAGCAAGACTTCATTCCAAAGTTTCTTATTAGTTTGGGGCCATAATCCTGTTTTATCCTCACTATTAGAAAATTGTGGGTTATTGTACAGTGTCCAGATTTTAGAACCTTTGGGCTCTGGCCTATTCATTCTTGAGCTAGTCTGCCCCTTATTTTCTTTGTTTTTAAAGTGGGAGACTAGCATTTCTTTGAGAAATAAAGAAGATAATATTTGAACACTATACATGGGCAAGATATTCTGTGGAACCTGGGTAAATGTTAATTTTTGTTTTTTAATGATGAGTATATAAAATTAAAACCTCCTTGCCAAGTAAGTTGGGCATTTAGACCTAATGCCAGCTCTGGTGAGGTGATATAAAGCAGAATTTTTATAAATTTGTCTCTGTAGAAAGTTCAGTTATAAAAAGTAGGTAATTGTAGGAAGCTGTATTCTCTGTCCTGAGGGTCACTGGAGGTAATATGTAGATGTTTAAGTTGTTTTGTGTGTTTAATTGATTTCAGAGAAAAAGGGAGAGGGAGAGATATAGAGATAACAATGATGAGAGAGAATCATTGATCGCCTGCCTCCTGCACGCCCCCTACTGGGGATCGAACCCGCAACTGTGACATGTGCCCTTGACTGGAGTTGAACCTGGAACCCTTCAGTCTGCAGGCTGATGCTCTTATCCACTGAGCCAAACCAGCTAGGGCTAGATGTTTAAGTAGATCTCTTTCCTTCTCATAAGTTGAATCATTCTAGATCATCTAATGATAACCAGTTTTTAGATAAATGCATTTAATAAGTCTGACAAAGGGAAACTACCAGGCATTTGTGGAGAGAGCAAACAAAGCCGAGGCAGATGAGAACACTTCAAGGAGACACTTCCTTGGTTTTGATGGCATTTTGTTGTTTGTTTGTTTGTTTGTTTGTTTGTTTTTTGTAAAGTGCTTACCAGATGGTCTTGAGTACTAGAAGCATGTTTACCCTAGTAACAGACTTTGGTATATAGTATGTTTTCTTTGAAAATAATACATATGCCTAGATATTAGTGCATATTGGTTTAGCAGGCTTAAAGGGTAACTCTTATTCAAGATCTTTTATATCCCACAAAGGCTAACATAAAAATTTATATTTTCAATATATTTTTTACTGCCCTTAATAATTGTGAAATGATCATGGAAGATTCATATCTGTATGGATGGGTTTTGGTAAAGGTATTCTGAAGGATGAGGACCTAATTCTGGAGTCCTTCCATTTGTTTTTGTATCCATTAATCCATTTCTAAGAACTTATCACCAGGGTATTGTTACGGTTGCATACAAATGATACCTATACATTTGCTCAGTGAAGCATGCTTTATTTTTAGTGAAAAAATGGAAACAATCTAAACGCTCACAAGTAGTATGCTATTAAAAACATGTTTTTAAAGAAAGTGCCATGAGAAAATTCTCTGGATTGACTTTAAGGTTAAAAATAGTTGGAGACAATATTAAACGTAACAAAAAAATGAAAGTGCATTAAGTTGTTAGTTCTGGGTGGCAAAATTCAAGTTTTTTATTTTTTTCTTTCTACGTGCTTCTCTATTTTCCCAGCTTTCCAAATGAACATATATTACTTTTTAAATCAGACCTTTTAACATCACATTCACTTTTAGGTGAAGTATCAGCATTTTTATGATGTATTTTAAAACCAAATTTGAGTATATGTGTTAATCTTGAGCTTTTAGGTCCAGGCACCTATATAAAAATCTGTGTAAATTGAAGTACACACAAATTTAAAATATATAAAATATTTAATATATAATGCAACATATAACAACATAAAACATGTAGAATAATATATAAACATTTTAATGGTATATATCAGGAGTCAGCAGACTTTTTCTGAAGGGACCAGATAGTAAATATTTTAGATTTTTGAGAACCACATACAGACTCTGTCATATTTTCTTTTCTTACTTTTAAGTTATTGCATATAACTTTTCATTAATGCTACACAATTTGTTGATATCTATACATATATTCATATATTAACATTTTATTTGAATTATTTTATTTTGGAGGCAACACACATATACAAAGTATAAAAAAATAACAGTATATACAATGAGAAATGAGATTTCCTTTTATCTCCAATCTCTCAGTTTCACTCCCCTTAGGCAATTATTGTTACCCATTTTTCACATATTTTCTCAAAGATATATGTACTTTTCACTTAATTGTATAAGATTACTAGTACAGATTATTCTAGTACATATAGTTGCTTTATTCTTTTTAATGTCTGCATCATAATTAATTGGATAGATGTACCATACTAGGTTTAAACAGTCTCATATTGATGGATATCTCATTTCCCCCCAGTACTTCATTATTTTACAGATATGTGTGTGTAGAAAAATTAGGTATTTTAATGGACATATCACATTTAAAAGGCCAGTTTTAAATCTTTTAAAGTATTTTTAATAGAAAAGTTAATACATGTAAACAGTTAAAAGTTAATGCATATAAATGGTTAATAAAAAATAAAAATAATTTCTCTCTTAATTACTGCCTACTCTTAAAATATAGATGCTGTTCTTGGATATCTTTAGGTAGAAAAAAATTGTGAATATAAGAATCTATACTAATAAAAGAGTAACATGCTAATTAACTGTACCTTTGCATCACCCACCAGCCAATCAGGAGTGAGGTGGGTTAATCCGCATATGCAGGCACCGTTGGCTGGGGCGTTCTACACCACCTCAGCCACTCTAGGCCTTTGGGCAGTGTGGGAAAGTGTAAAGGTGGCTCCAGGCCAGAGCAGAAAAGTAGCTCTGGGCTGGAGCTAAAAGGTGGCTCCAGCCAGAGCGAAGGTGGTGCCAGCAGCCAGGGGAAGAAAAGCCCATTCTTGCACAAATCTTTGTGCATCAGGCCTCTAGTGTGTAATAATAATCTATATTAATAAAAGCATGCCTAACTGGTTTGGCTCAGTGGATAGAGCATCGACCTGCTGACTGAAGGGTCCCAGGTTCGATCCTGGTCAAGGGCATGTACCTTGGTTGCGGGCACATCTCCAGTAGGGGGTGTGCAAGAGGCAGCTGGTCGATTATTCTCTCTCATCGATGTTTCTAATTCTCTATTCCTCATTCTTCCTCTCTGTAAAAAAATCAATAAAATATTTAAAAAATAATAAAAAACATAAAATATGTTTAGTTAACATCCATCACCTCACATAGATATTTTTTGTGATGAGAATTTTTAAGATCTAATCTCTTAGCAACTACTTGATTTTTAAAAGATGGTAGATGTGTATTTGGTTAGGGCCATTTCGATATATCAGTTTAGTTATGTCTCATGGATCAAATATTTGGTATTAGATTATAAACAGTCAACCCCACAAGGAATAAAGGGGATTTTTCCTTAGATCACAGGCCAATATCTATGCAGACAATAGTTAGCTGGCGATGGGGCTGGCCTAATTTACAATATTACAATGCAGTTATCTGAGTGTTCTGTGGAAACATTTGTCAGATGCTTTCTGGAGCTTAGAGAACCTAGAGTGAAACCCCAAATTTAAAAGAACTTCTATCACATTTTTCAGGACTGAACCAAAAATTGGGGGTATTTTACAACCCAGCCCAGTTAATAGAAAAATTGTAGGAATAACTAAACTTTTCCTTTCATGAAATTTTGGCTCCCTATTCTTTGCTTCTGTTGCTTTGGCTTTAGAAATAAACTTTTGCTTTCTCTTATTGATATGTGCTGGGAAGGCAGAAGGGGGTGAGGGATGTTCATACTGTAGTACCAAGGAATAATTTGAAGCTGAGCAGGTTTACCTTGAGTGAGGATCGTAGGTGTTTAACATTTGTTGAATTGTGTAGGTGAGCTGGGGAGTACTAGTTATAGTTGTATAACATTTCAGAACAGAAAGAGGGAATAGCTTTGTCAGATATAGGATGCCATATGATGAATAGACAGTTTTTTTAAATAATTACATTTTAAAGATTTCAGTCTAAATATGTAGATTATCAAAACCAAAAGCCAATAATTGTAGTAAAACAGTATTTATTTGTCCTTATGATGACTTTTCTAAATAATTTATAATCCAGCCAAGACAGATTTTATTTACAGGGCAGAAAAATTAATCATGGACTATTCTGGGCAACCAGAATATATGCTCTACTAGTTAAAATGGATTTCATTTTTTTCTAGCTCTCATTGGAGATTGTTCATAGATCCACTTTAATAGATTTTTCTCCTAGTCATTACACTTTTTAAATAGCACACACTTAAAAGGAATCATTAGTAAATGTGAGTACACACGTTTGTGTTTTTCTAAAATCTATTTTAGGCTGCAAACCAAGGGTCAAAATTTAAAGACCGTCGGCTACAAATATCATGGCACAAGGCCAAGGTGCCTTCTGTATCTACAGAGACCGAGGAAGAAGAAGTCAAGGAGGAGGTAAATTTAATGATTGAAAATAAGAGTTTAAAAAGAAAAAGAAAAAAAAAGAATTAGATTGTTTCTCAGTTATATATTTTTTCTAACATTAAAATAAATATTGAATTATTGCATGAATGCAGTTATCTAAGGCTAGTCTTAAAATTTACTAAAGCCTCAAAGGTACATAAATATAAAAAGCTTTGGGGATTATTTTCTGGTGTAAGAGAGAATTTTTTTTATTGGTATTTGTTTGGGCTCTAGATATTTTTATTCTGATAAATGAGGACATGGATTATATGAATAAATTAAGTTTTAGCTGATTGTTGAAGCTTTTAGTTTATTTAAGTTCCATAAGTAATAGATGGGAGTTTCTTTCCTTCTATGTATAGTTGGTTAAAATGTCAGTGTAAGGAAGTAAAACATAAGAGGGAAGGCTAAAAAAGTCAGACTTAAAGTAATGCAAGTACTAAATAATCAGTTTCCTAAAATATAAGAGAATTGATGCTGCTCTTTTACTACTATATTTCTAATTAGTTTATTAAAATGAACACTCATCCAACATTGCAAGTTATTCCTGATTCATCACATTTTTTATTTAGAAGATATCTGGCATTAATGGTTGGTCAAGAGGCTTCTAACCATATGGGTAATTTTATATAACAAAAGTAGAGACATGTCCCTATGTTAAAAAAGAAAAACCTTGATATTTTGGGGGAATATTTGCAGATACTTCTACTTTTTACATTTTTATATAAGATCTTGAATGTCATTGTCATGGGGAAGTTATATATTCTCCCCTCATTAATAAGCTAATATTAAAGGAAAGGTTTAGGAGTTTGAATGGTCATTTACTGTGTAATTTTTAACTTAATTGAATAAAATTAAATTAATTTTATCAATAACATTTCATAGGTATTTTTATTTTCCCTACTAAATGTTCATATATTATTTATTTATTTTTCTGATGACTTTAGATAGAAATCTTTTCCTATTAAGACTAAGAAAAGTTAGCAGAGAGAATATTATATGCATGGGTTGAGCAAAAGCAAATTTACTTTAACCTACTTTTATTAATTTTAATATATTAATTAAAACCTGTATTTTAATTTATTAATTATTTTCCATGTGAACAACAATAAACCTACTTTTACTACCCCCAGTACATGCAAAAAAAAAAAATTTTTTTTTGTGTATGTGTGTTTTGTTTGTGTTTTTTTTTGCTCTGAAAGATACTTTTAAATTCAGCTTTTATATTTAGTCTATTTGTCCTTTGCCCTAAAAAAGTATTTTATTTAACTTCTTGTGCCACTAAGCAGATTTTACCCTCTTTTTCTTTAGGAAACAGAAACCTCAGATTTGTTTTTGCCTGATGATGATGACGAAGATGAAGATGAATATGAGTCTCGTTCATGGCGAAGATGAAATCTGAAGCGAGCTGTATAATTTTTTAGGAATATTTGTTTAGAAGAACAACTTTTAAAGTTATTTAAAGACGTCAATGAGCCAAAAAAATTTTTTTATTTTTCTTTCAACACAATAGATTTAAGGACAGCAAGTTTGCTATTTAAACACATCTCATAACTGTTCATGATATTATAGCACCAAAGGCCTAGTACTTTTACACAGTTGTGAAGATCCACAGGATGACATGGATAATCTCTAGAGCCTTATTTTTCCACACCGCCTGTCTTTGTTGCTACTGGTGTTGGATTATGATGTAAATGACAGGGTGTTCAGAAATTTTATTTTGGATTATAATCTGATAAAATTTCTTTAAATGTCAAAATTGCCTGGAATCTCTTAACTCTTAGCTATTATGGATGGGTCGTCAGACAATAGGAGACATTTGTAATTGAAATACCCTTCTGCTTTCAAGAGTTGTCTTGGAAGAAAAGTAAATTTATTTTCTTTCTTTTTTTTTTTTTTTTACTGATGAGGAGCCCAATTTGTATTAAATCTAAATTTGGGGTGGGAGGAGGCTTATCTGTAGAAGTAAGTACTACTTTAGTGTAAACCATACAAACTCTGTGTTCTTAAATGCTATAAGGTAATGGAAGCTAGCTCTATGGTAATTTTATTCTGTCATTATATCAACTCTCCTGCAACTTTGAAATTAGTGAGTATTGGTTCAGTTGGTTTGTGTTTTGTTTTTCTTTTTTAACAGTCTTAGAATATAAAAGGTTTTTACCCATTGCCCCTTTTTCAATCCCACTTTCTTTCTTCTGCCTTTTTATTACTAGGCCCTACTTACCCATTATTGAGATATTCTTTTCGGTCACCAAAAGTCAATCCCTAATAAAAAGTTTATACCAGCAAACACCTTGATAAATGTTTAGATGAGAATAATGGAAGGATTCATTGGGAAAGTCAGTCACTAGCTTTTTTTTCTTTTTTAATGCTTCAATTTAGTTAATAGTTACACAAAAGGGTTAAAAAGTGTCTGAAATTCTTTTCCAAAATTAAACCATGATGGTGAGGTGTTGGGGTAGGGTAGGGTTGGGGTAGGGTAGAGGGATGGGTATGCTAGTAATAAATGGGAGTCATAACTTGACTTTGATCAGATGACCTTATTTTTTTATAATTTTGAAGCTGTTGCTATCCATGAACATATGCATCCTTCAGTAGACAGTTTTTTTCACTGTGTGCATTTTTACTGTACACTGTATAGAGTAGAGTATCTGTTAAGTAAAATATATGTAAATGTATGTCCTTGTGTTCTGAATGTTAGATGGAAAAACAGAGGAGTAACACTACACTGTATTGACCCCTGAGGAAATAAAATGATTAATGTACATAGGATGTTACTTTTTCAAGAGTATACACATCTATGTTTTTATATACGTGTGGTGTGAAAATTTAAAACTTCCTGTTGGCTTCAGAAAGTTCTTGGTGATCACTATATCAAGGATTTTGTTTCTTGAAGTATGACTCTTTCTTAAAATAGAAACTATTCACTAAGAAACTTAAAACCATCAGGACTCTAGATTTACATAGCTACAAGAAGTTAAATCCCACGTTCTGATTATCTTTTCTACTTATTTTCCTGGAATGATGTGTCAAACCAGGATCATTTTTATGTTCATTGTAACTTCCCCTTTGCAATAATAAGGACTTCCTCTTCCTAGGTTGTTGTTATATTTCTGATAACACTGAAACTAAAATAAGCTTATACAAAGATGAAAATGTTACAGTGGGGTACCTAGAATAAGCAATCTTGCTCCTCCCTCCATCATCTCTAATGAAATTTTCTTGATGTCTGTGGCTCAGTCGGTATATATTTTGAAAGATTCATTGTGGTGAATATTTTGAGTCCTGACAGTTTAAGCGTGATAGAGGGAACAAAGGATTTATATATTTTTTGTACAAAGTTTTTTCTTAAACTGTATAATTTTGTAAATAATTTGTTTTTGTTTTTTTGTGTACTAAAACTACCAGCGTATAGATTTCAATAAGAATTGTTGTATTTTTGTATTTGGAAACTGAAAATTACAGTAAATTAATGGAGCTGTAAGAAAATTTTCAGTAGACTGACAATTCAACAGAATGAGATTCCTTTTCATATGGGTTTTTTTTTTAACCTCAAAATTGACATCTTATTACACTCTGTACAGAGAGATTTGTTTGCCTTTTTAGTTGTTGGGAGAGAGTGGAGTGAAAGAGAAGAGTGTTAAAGTGAAGAATAGATAGACTCTTTCCAGTAAGATCCTTTGTATAAAACTGATTTTTCAATGCACCTTATATAAGACTAAAATTCTTTTTAAATGTTCTAAGAATTCTAAAACTTTTTTGATTCTCAAAAATGAATTCAAAATAATGAGTTAAATATAATATTAGAACATTTAAGTTAATGGTAACATAAAATAGTTGAATATGTATTTTTCCTTTAGGATTTTTTATCCCCAACTATTAGAATTTATTTTAAAAGGAAGTACCATAACTTGTTTTCTTGGCATCTTCAGTTACAGATATAACATATATCATCTGAGGCAAGCTGTATTCTTTTTAATGAGTGTGACAACTTTCTAAGTTTCTAAGTAGCTAATGACCAATCTGCCTAGGCCAGCCTGGTTCACTAGTGGATTGCTGCCCAAGTTTAAAAAGGTAAACCCAAGGAACGCAGAATTTCTTTGCCTTTCTTCATGTGGGAAAGCATTGATGATAAATTGAAAAATGGTCTTGTTATGATGAAACAAAGGTCCTATTGATGGATCATTATTTCAAAAAGAAGAAAAAAATCATGTGAAAAGGAATAGTGGTTCTTCTTATGTATAGTACGCCTGTATTATAGTTTTTACAAAATTGTGAACTTGTGTAATAGTATAATAGGAGATATTGTTGAATTTCTAACTGTTTATACATTTAAATTCATATATGTAATGTTTGTTTTATCAATTACAATCTGAATTTCTAAGAAGCATGTTGACTTTTGCAATAAAGATGCAATATGGAATGGTTCACAATCGGAAAAAAAAAAAGAAAAAAGATAAAAGTATTATGAATTTAAAAGAATTTGGAAAACTTATGAACCATTCCAAAAATTATAACAATCACCAAAAGAGCTGTAATTCTGGCTTGTTCTGGAAAGAAAGAAAATGTGTGTGTATGCTTGCTTGTGTGTGACTGTGAGTGAGTAGTGGGTATGTATGTGTGTTTTATGTTGGATTCATGTACATGGGAGAATGCTACTCTATGAAATTGGGTATTGAAACCACTGGCTGTAAAATATTCAGTAGAATAACTCCCTCAACAGGGTGTCTTGGAAATTAAAAAGAAGGGGATTAAAGTATTATTAGTTAGCTTTGATAGCCATATTTCTTTGTTCATGATGGGTCTTGGTATCCCTGATAAAAAGCACAAACAATTTTATAAAAGCAATTATTTTAATGTTACCTTGATGATATTCAGTGTGTCTGCCAACAATAGGAAGGACCATTTCCCCCCCCTTTTTGCTAAAATATATTTTTATTGATTTCAGGGAAAGAGGAAGAGGGAGAGAGAGATAAAAACATCAATGATGAGAGAGAATCATTGATTGGCTGCAGTCTGCACACTGCACACTGGGGATTGAGCCCGCAACCCAAGAAGCATGTGCCCTGTCTGGGAATTGAACCATGATCTCCTGGTTCCTAGGTCAATATTCAACCACTGAGCCATGCCAGCCGCCTGAAAGGACATTTTTCTTAAGTGGAATAGAAATATGGGAAAACACCTTGAAGAGATGACTTTTAATTGTGATCTCTAATAGTAAAGAATAACAAGAAGAGATCTTACATTCTAAGGTGGGAGGTGATGAGAAAGGAAAGCCCATATGAATTGGGCTCATGTTTTTCATTTGAAAAATTTCTTAACAAAATTCCCTTTGAAATGATTATTCATTGTCTAAAAAGAGTCATTCTTTCAATCTATACAGGAAATTACTAAAGAATGGGAGTAAATTTCATTTTCAGTCTTTTTAATAAATTTTATCTGTATTTTATGAATTTGGTAAATGGCAAATAAGCTGTATGATCATTTGTTTTGAATAGATGAGAATTTATCCTCATCTATACCGGGAGCCCCCCAAAAATGTATATACACTTTAACAGCTGATAGCGCAATTTTGAAAATGAAATGTATTTTGATTAACACTGCCTTAATAGTTATTTAAAGTGAGATACATTTTTGGGTGACACCCTACATGTTTATAATAAACATTAGTTCTGGGAATTTTAGTGGGAATAAGCATAATTCTGAAAATAGTTACATCTGTTTAATATTAAGTCAAATATTTTACTAACATGGACCTCTCATTAAAAAATTAATTGGTTTTATGTGATTTTTTTTAGTGTCTTAGATGTAAATTATTCTAAAGCAAGGATAAATTTTGAATCACGAGTCCCAGTGTAGTATCTAGTCTGTATCTAATAGTAATTTTGTTACAGTAAACAGAAGGTATGAACATTTATGTCAACACTTGAAATGTTTGGGATGATAGGATTGCTTTAAACAAGAGCAGACCTGCATATCTTGTGTCATTTTAGTGTCAGACCTATTTGAGGAGCCAGGGAGCATTGACTCAAAATACAAGGCTATTAACTGCTATTGCATGTGCTGTGAATCACCTTCATTTATGCTAAATTGATTTTATTGCCAAGTGATCTTTCTATAGGGTCATCTACCATTTGGCCTCTTATCTGGTTCTTTGATCAGTCTTAGGTTAACTAAACCATCCCAGCATTCTGAGATGGGTAACAATATATGTAGGTGAAATTAAGATTAGAATAGTGTTTAATGTCTGTTTGCAAGATAATTGCAGTTTGAGTCTATTCTTGGGCTCCTGCAAACATTTTTCTCTCCTTTTTTTGTATGTGGAGGTGGTCATTAAGCATGATAAACATGGCTGGTACCTTTTCTTTTTATTTATTTATATTATCTTTCTGTGA